GGAGAACTTGTGCTCATCATTATTTCTTGAGTCAGATGCTAAGTGTTTCCAACTTTCGGTGAAATTGTTTTCCCATCCATTTTTTATGTAACTTACAATTCTACAAAAAAAGATAACTTTATATATGCTTAAAAGAGAGAAAAAAAATACTGTTGTTGCTGTACGAACATTAGGCAGGAGGAATGATCGTACATCCGACCGCTCACCTGTGCTTTAGTTCGCGTTTGTTGGCGTCACTCGAAGCACTACCATCTTTCGCTGTTCCTACATGGTATGAAAGCCATGTTCTCAGCCTAGGCTTTGTTAAATGACAAGGACAGTTTCCACTGAGTAATTGTAGCCTCTCTTCTTCTGAGAAAAATGCAAAATCTGAAGGGAAACTCATAATTATTTTTCTCGAATTTTCCTCATTAGGTGCTTGGTTTCTCCTGAAAGATTGACCCGAAAGCCTCGCTTTTGCACACTCTGTAACTAATACCACTGTAAGGTGGGCTCAACTGTTAGTCTGTAATAACAGCTATTGGAAATCAGCACTCCTATAATCGGCGTCACATGGATCTGAGATAGTCTTTGTGATAGATAATTCACAGTCACTGTGTAATAGGATTAAAATGTCAACATAATATCTCATAGTGATAAAATAATGTGTATATTCAAACCAGTTAGAGAGGATTTAAGGGGGTAAGTTTTAACATTTTGATTGCATTTTTGCTATAATGACGTAATTGGTACACTGCATTATTTTAGTCTAAAAAAAGTGCTCCTTTTTTGTTTTGAATTTATTCTAGTGTATTTGCACTAAGTAATTATTTAAAAGAGAAATTTGAATTGTTACCTTGAGTTCATTGTGATGACTATTTTTAATTGCTTCCATTATTTGATTTAATGTTATATCAATTGGTTAGTTTTCCTTTCTTTACAGCAACAGTTTAGTAAAAAAGGTAAGTGTGAACATAGTGAAAATTGTGATGTTTTTGTTTTTCATCGACATATTAAGAAGTTTACAAATTTTGTAAACTGTTTACCTGTTACACCCCTTGTCAGCTTTGTTTTGTTTTGTTTTGTTTTAACAACTTTACCGGGTGTGACTAGACCCAGAAGGGTTAGTGCAAACGGAACACAAGGTCCATGCGAGGCACCACCCCTTCCCCCTAATTCACCCTGGGTAGACAGTAGAAACCCAAGGGAGTTATGAATCACAATTTGCAGTTTGAAGTACAAAGCACAACCTCATTTTATAACTTCCAATAATATATCAAGCAAACATGAAATGAGGACACTTGTCATCTAGTGGTTTTAATCTTGATCTATGACCAAATTCTCCCAACTCATTGACACAAATATACTAAAAGGAGTTTTAAGGGAGAATTAAGTGATCAATTAGATCTTGGGGGTTGCATGGCTACAGTTTGATTCTCTGTTTAGAATTTTTTCAAATCTGTTTCAATAGATAGTCTTTTCTCTCATTCAATGCAGATGTTTCTGCTGAGGATTTTGCGAAGTCTGTCACACAGACGTTTGGCAAAAGGGTATGTGTTTTTGATATTTTTCTGTGAATTCTGTATTTTTCAAAGTGACAAAATAAAATTTTTTTTTCGTCTTTTTTGTAATTTATATTGACAGGAAATGGAACAAAGAGCTGCATGGGATTCAGTTGATCCAAAGTATCCTGTCAGACAAATAATGTCCTTATTAAAATTATGAGGCACTTATTGAGAGAAGTGATGCATTAATCTGCCAATTTAAGTGCATGTCTTTATGATCACCTGTTGAGCAATCATACCAAACCTAATCATTTTTCCTCAGTACAAATGTTTAAGTCAGAACATGTAAAACTCAGAGCTGATGCAACACTAGCCAAGACCATTCGCTAGCATAACCTTTTTTAGCCTTAACAAGTTTTTTTTTTTAAAGTCACTTGACTGTTTAACTTTGCTTTAGTCAAAGTTGTTAAGGGCTGGACATCTTATTATTCTGTTAATTTGATAGTTTAGGCTTTTGAATTTAAAACCTTTATTTCCTGTGGTTTGAGTGATATAGTACATATTTTTCTACACCTGATGGTTATTGAACTTGACTCCTTCAAAGACGAAAGAAAAGAGACAAACATGCACGCAAAGTGAAAGATGCTAATTACATTCCAGATAGCTATTCAGAGTGTTATCCAGGGTAAGTGATTTTATTTTAAGAAGGATTTTTTTTTGGGGGGGAGGGGGAGTGTCACAAGGTTTTCAAGGGTAATGGAGAGGGATCAATTTTTGCCAACAGCAGCGTATAAAGAGAAAGCTATAATAGAAAATTGTCTGCCAGTTAATTGCTAGTGATGGGGGAGAGGGAGCTCTATAGAATATTACATACATACATACAGATATAGGTTAATTGACCACTCCCCATAGGGGCTTTTCAGGGCCAACACCCACCCATACAGGGGGGGACATCCACCACACAGTAATCTCGTGCGTGGGAAATTAACGTCTCCTAACCCTAACTCTGCAAGAGATGGGGCCTACGGTTTATTCGTCCTTATCCGAGTAGAATAGAATATCCATCCATTTCTTGATTATAGAAAGGTAGCAAATTCTCCTCACTTATTTTAAGACCATGAGTATTGGTCCGGCTGGGGCTCGAACCCTCTACCTCCCGCACAAGACAATCTGGCGTTCTGACCAATTGAGCTAACCGGGAGGTGGTTAGCTCAACAGAGCCATATTTTTAAAGTGTGGCTAAAAGGGAAGAAAAAGTATTTTAGACAATTGCAGTGTATGGAAGTATTTACTTGGTAGATTATTTTCCCCCTTGTTTAGTGCCGTTGATATGCCTTATGACAGTGATGAGGAAGCAGATTACAGTAAAATGGATTTGGTATGTTTTACTGAAGTTATTGTTATAATCATACTGAGCTTAGTGCTTGCTGGATTTGTTTTCCTACTTTAATACTCAATTGGCACAAGATAGAAGTTTGCTACTTAGGGGGAGACCTATTTTCTTTAGAACCAACATTTTGGGTCCCAATCAGCTAGGTCTATTAAAAACAAATACCTTACATCCAAGTAGGATTGGAATTACCATCCACACGATTATGCAACCCTTAAAAAAAAATTGAGTTGTTGAGTTTTTTTGCACTTATCTTTAAGAATCCATTGTAACAGCTGTTTCAGTTTGGAAAATAGCACTCTTGCACTGCTCTAGTATCACAGAGTTCGTAGGTTCAAGTCCTGTACAGGCCTGAAGTTTTCACTACTACTAAAGTGGTGTTCATTTCTGCAAAGATCACTCTGATATCTAGAACTGTGATATTCTGAATAATATTCACTTTAATCAGATGAATATTTAATACTGAAAGATATAGGAATATTACTGATAATAGTTTTTATTACACACTAGTCTTGGCTTGAAAAATTTGATTGGCTTAGAGCATTCAATCAATATACAATAGTGTGTGAAGTCAACATGATAATGCAGTATCAAGACTTCAAGTTTGATAATTTGTGATATCATGCTCAACCTCGTCCTGTAATTGCATAGTATTCATTTTAAGAGTTTATTCTGTGCTGAAAATATGAAACATGATTTCAGAATGATTGAGTATTTGCCATTATAACCCACTCATTAATTTTGGTGCAATTTTATTGGTTACTTTACGTCATGTGGTGCAAAATCACAGGACAGTTATCACACAATAACCCTTGTCTGCATTGATATTTGTCCTCCAATTTTTTCTGTTAAAAAGAAACATAGTCGACACAAGAGTTTCAACTTTTCCGTTCTCCTATTTACACGGAAGGAAACCAAACTCTTCTTTTTTTTTTGCTTGCAAAATTTCATATTGCCCTCGAAGCTTCGTTTCTCAGCCAAATATTCTTTTTTCGGACTCTCAGCCACGGACATTATCAGCTGACATAGCAGCTGCCCGAAGGGGTTTATTTACTAAATAATAATAATAATTAAAAAAAAGTCGGAGCAAGAAAACAAAAAGTTTGAGTTGAAGATATATTGAATATTAATTGAACACTTAGAAAATAGCCTTATGCTGGGAATTTAACTATCATCATACCATTTTGATTTGTTCATTTTCAAAACTTACTTGTTTGTGTAGGTAGGTTTCAACTTTTTTGGTTCACTACTACCTGGTAATAAGAATTAAGTTATAGTTACCATTAATAATTTATTGACACTTAATTACTGTTTAACTCTACTTAATATACATACTCGATAAAGTGCTCTTGATCTGTACATACCAGTAATTTAAGAGTTAAAAATGTTAAAATTAAAATTTTGAAGTTTACAAAAAATGGTATATAATATTAATTTAATAACTATTTGTAAAAGATAAATGAGAATTGAAATGAAACTTTATGAACCCTTTAAATGGTAACAGGATTGTCTGGCTGGAACTTTGCCTGGCCGAAAATACTTTGCACCATTTGTTAGTACTTTTTAGTTGCATTCTTTGTTTTGTTATTGTGTTGTTTATTACTCTTTATTATGTAATTATTTATGCACTTTTAATTTACAGATAAAGTGATTTTATTTATAATTTGAATTTTTTTTTATTTTATTCTGTTTTTTTTTTAGTTTATTTCTTGTTACCTTTTTTTTCTTTTCTTTTTTTTTGCACTTATTCTCAGTTTACCATTCTTCATCCGAGGATGGGCTCTGCAATTCATTTTGACACAAGTTTGATACACTGAGCACATTGGAACTTTCTGAGTAATCCAATGACTTTAAAATAGGATAATTTGGTTTTATCAACTAAGTTGATAAGTAAATGTAAAATCAGCTGCCATAGAAATTTTCAAAAACTTGCATCTTGAGTGTTATCATTGTGCCAGAGCAAACAGAAATAAATCACAGACTTAAATGATAACCAATGTTAAAAGTGTTGATTAAATGATGAAATCTATAAACTTATTAAGCAAAAATTAATGATAAGAAATAATCAAGACGCTCCAAAATTTATTGTTAGCCCACACAGCCTCTGCTCAAAGGTATCATCCCTTTTCCTATCATGTAAAGCCAAGATTACATCAAGTCTTTGCCCACGCATTATGTTGCACAAATCTAGGTTAGAGGGTCATTGAAATTAAAAATTAAGGGCTGTTTATTTTAAAGAAGGTCTAAGCAAAACCGCAGTTTTACAGAAGCAGTGGGCCCCAGGTATTATCAATGCGAGGGTTGATTTAATTATTATAAGTAAGTGTTTTTCCACTGTTAGCTTTCAGCCCTCTTGAAACTGTCAACAAAAATAACTGTTTAGATAAATGATAAATAAACTGAAGATAGTTTCAAATGTGGTTTTGTCAACAAAGGCTAAACTTTGTTTAAATAACAAGCACTTAAAAATGGTTTTTTTTCTTTTTTTTTTTTTAGTGTTGGTTGTGTATATAGCTCCCAGGTCATGTGGGTAACCAAATTAATAAAACAAATGATTGATATGAAAACTAACAAGTTTGATGATAACAGCGAGCAGTAAAGAAACCAATTGGCTATTTTAAAGCAAGGCTTAGGACTTAAATTTGAGCCGCTGGATTGCATGTCTTAGGCTCTACCACCAGGCCACACCACCTGCGTTTAATAAAGTTTAACTGTATCCCATTTTTAAATTAACAATAATTTTTACTGATGTGACAATTTCATCTTCCAGGGTAACAAGAAAGGTCCCATTAAAAGGTGGGACTTTGAGACAGAAGAGGATTATCACAGCTACATGGAAAGTAGGGAAGCTCTTCCAAAGTAAGTATTTTTCCTTGTACTTATTACTGGTCTTAGTTGGTGTCAAATTTGTGTCTGTTTGTTTGTATGTTTGTCTGTGTTGTTGCTTCACCTTGTCAGACAAACTTTACAAGACAAAACATTGAAATTTATCTTGCAGAGCTGCCTTTCAGTTTGGAATTAAGATGTCTGAAGGACGCAAAACAAGACGTGCTGGTCCTAAAGATGAGAAGGCTAAATTAGACAGGGACTGGCAGAAAATTAGTCAGGTACATGTCAGATCATTATACAGTTTCATGTCAATTTTAAAAGAAATTAATAAAAACTTTGTTTGCCCCTCGAGCACCAGTAATCACAAAGTGATTTTTTGAAATTTTGTCAAACTACAATAATTGCTAGTAATGAACTTACCAGTGCTGTGGTTAAAATAGTAGGTTGTTACAGGTTTGTTTCCATTTTTTTCCTTTTAGATGTTGAGTAAAAGGAAAGGAGAAGAAGGGTAAGTTGCTCAAAACTTGGATTATCAAAAAAAAAGAAAAAAAAAGGACAGCAAGGATAAGGATGAATGAAATGTGTTGAAAATCTGAATATTGCAAAGAAATCACTCTTTTCTTGCCCACTATTTACTTGGAATATCTATTTTTAGTATATACCAAAACAGTGGAGAGCAATGAAGGCACACTCTAACTGGCTAGTCAAACTCCAAATATTCTTTGCTATTTACTTCTGAGGAACTCGGGATAAAATCGCGTCCCAGTTTGCATCCGTGACAAGCAAAGAAATCACTCAAATCAATTTTTGGTGATGTATATGATCTCACTGTTTTAGTATATACTAAAACAACTATTCACCGTGGTGGAGGTGGTTAGTAGTGGTTATTTACCTCACCACTTCGCGGCTCGGTAAATATCCACCACTAACCACCTCAACCTAGGTGAATAGTTGTTAAAGAAATGAAATAGAAATTTTATCATGACCAATCACATTTTTGTCATTAATAGATGAAACGTGGTGCAGCCGTAGCATTTAAGAAGCCTAATCCCAATCACAGTCAGAAATGTACTTTAATAGATTATGTATGATAAGAAAGCTGAATTATACAGACTCCCTGATTGGTTTTCACTTATGATCTATTAAAGCACATGTGCATAGACATTGTAAGCTTTTGGTTCGACTTTGTTGAGCTTTGTCGTTGCTGTACTCTGCGACGGCGATTAGCAGTGAAAATTATAATTATTATTATCATTAAAAATTATTATTGTTATTTCGACAATGCCAACATGAACAACATTTTGTTGGCTGCATTTTGTATGCCACTGTGATCTGAACAGACACATTGTAACATGGAACACTAAACCAGTGGTAAAACTGAAAAAGTTATCCAGATTGCATACTTAAAAAATCAGCTACACCACATCATTAAAATGAAACATATGAAACATATATGAAATGAAACATATATTTTGTATTTGTGTAGCCAGTTATTGTAAAATTCATTGAAACAATTCTAACTATTTATTACCAATTGTCTTTTAGGAAAGGAGACTCAGATGGCAAGAGACGAAAGCATAGGGATTAAGCAACTTACAAATTTGGAAGATTATTGAAAGTCCTCAAGTGTTTATTGTGTCTTTTAGAAAACGCACTCATGACTACATTGCAAAAAAATCAACTGTTAACTTTTTAAAGTAGAACTTTGGAATTGTAATTATTATAGTTTGTTAAATCTTTGATTATTTTTTCTTTGGTAAGCTGTGACAAGGATCTGGCATTTATCAATTTAAGATTGTCACAAAATAGTCATCCTCCAAAATATAAAGTTGTTGATTTTCATCGCTTGTTTTCAATGCAACATATTAAAACCCTTAGGGGAAGTTTATTTAAATAAGGGATAAGGTTGCAAGGAGATGGTTTGTTGGAATTACCCTCATTATGTGGTGCAACTTAAAACGTAGGTAAAAAGCAGAACTGTACTTTTTAGATTCAGAGCTGGGGTATTCTTAACTGATACTTCCCTCAGTCTCTAAGTTCTAAGCTGTGCGGCAGTTTAAGTCACACGGGGATCGAGTAGAAAATAATGTTAGTGAGTACATTTGTAGGGAAAGTTTCCAATTTGACGACCCGATTTACCTACACTGTAGTGATTGAAGCCCTAAGTGAAAGTGAGACAAAGTCATGTTAAATGAGATGTTTCAAAGAAAATTTCAGTTAACTTATTGTTTTCAAAGACAAGCAGTGTGGTTAGCAGTCTAGCATTTCAAGTATTATAACTCACTTTTTTTTTCTCTGGTGTAAAACATGGTGACTTTGAAAGGTGCTGAGCCGAGAGGCTGTGTCATGTGTTGTAATATTACCGACAGTGTGTTAGGTTGGGTACCATAATATTGTAATAAAAATTGACTGAAAGTAGTCTCCATGTACTTATCTAGTATGTACGTCACTTGGAAGTGACAGAAAGATGTACATACTCTCATTTGCAAAAGGGTTGACACCCAAAAAAGCATGATCCAGAACAATGAGACTCAACAGTTTCATGGAAAAGTATAATACAGATACTAAATCAATGATTCACTTTTCTCACTGTTCAAGAAAATTGTGATAATAATCCTTTTTTCCTGGAAAGTGTGGATAGCTTTGATCATTCACCATGTGCATGTATGCCTCCACAGAGAGCCATAGATGCACAGGGACCTTTTTAAGTGTCAATGATTTAACTTCTCAACAGTGGAAAGAGAGCGTTCAAATCCTCTAAAGCTGTCATCAGAGAAATTAGAGAGTGTGACAAATGCCCCTAAAAACTTATTAAGTTGGAGTTTCCTCTCACAGGATTATGTAAGTGTAAAATGTGTGTAGTAACAACTGTCCATAGTCTATTGTGTTTGATTAAAGCTTAACAAAATTTTACGGAAATAAGGAGTACTACTTCTCATGATCATGAATCAAAACAATGTTTAAAGTATAGGAACAGCTACTAAATCTGACTGTAATCAGGGTGATGCAACAGACAAAGTTGGTTTCATTGGAACACCATCAATACTAGTAAAATCAATCACAATCTGACATTCCCTTGGTTTGAATTGCCTGTGAAGAGAACAAAAAGGTGTGAATACTCAATATATTCAGGATACATTATGGTAATGGGACTGAATGGAGTCCAATTTGGTCTCTGACCATTTTTATTTAATTCATTTATCAGAAATATTTAACCAGTCTGGCCCAGTTCAGCTGCAAGCTGATTTGCTACACCTTACAGGTGATATATTAACCTTCCAATTCCCAGAAGTAATTAACATACAACTTCTTCCCTTTAAGATCCATACATTATCCAGCAAACAGGTAATGAGAATATTTAAACTTATCAGGTGGAAGTTGTTACCTAGAGCTAACACCAAATTCTCGTAACTAATTTACAAGAAAAATGTGGAGCTGTTAGTGGGGAGAATTAACAATCAGAACTTGGGAGTTAGGGGTTAATTCTGACAACCATGAAGCAGGAGTCCAAATTGTGTATCATTAGTATGAATAAACTTAAAAAAACAGAATGGAATGACATGCATTCCTCTTACCAATTCATCAAACCAATGACAAAATTTGAGAAAAAAAAAAAAAACTAAACTAGCCAGTGGCTATGTTTTTGTATAAAGCAATGGTCAACTCAGTAACATGCTCAACAAGAGAGCGCTCACGATGTGACCTGTCCAATTACACAGGCATGATGCTTACACTGCCTTTTACACTGTCTAATAAGAAGGGTAACACATGCTCTGTCCTAGTAATGATTAATTCCAGTTGGTGATGACCAATAATGTGCAAGATCTTTTTGTAATAGTTTTGATTAATACTGAAACAGTAAGTGGCTAAAATTAAAAAATCACATGAAGGTAAAAAACATTTGAAATGGACAAATACAGCTTTACTAATTAAAAGCAGTTAACTTCAAATTTTTGTAATGAACTATCCTATCTGTTCAGCTCTTTAAGTCAAGTTTCTGATTGAAAATTAAATTCTGTGAATACAGTTAAGCATAACAGAGGAAGCTATTAAGACTGGAGTGTATGTTGTTTACCATGTCTATAGGAATGAATTGGTATCAATAAGAACTAGCTTAATTTATGCTCAGAATTGAGAAAGTGACTCCAATGTGTGATACTGACATTAACCATGATTGTAAACTGGCTTATTTGCCATGGTTACCTGTAAGTTATCTTGGCCATATCAAGGAGCCTCCTTGAAGCCTTGCAGTTTGGTTGGTCATGGTACTTGTCAGAATAATAAATGACTTCCTTGATTCCTGCTTGAATGATCAGCTTGGTGCACTCATTGCAGGGGAAAAGGGCAACATAGATACTACAACCTTTAATGTCTGCTGAATTTTTATTCAGAATGGCATTCAGTTCAGCATGACAAACTAAAAAAAGATGACAGAAACAAGATGTCAGACATATAAAGGTCACTGATGTGAAGAACTAACCCAACTTAGATGCTGACAAGGAGACTTGGCTTGTTTAAAAATCAAGATTTTCTTTAGTTGGTGATCATTTCCTTTATTCTCGTGGCTTAAATTTAATATTCATGGATGATATTGTAGGGGTTGAAGAGTTAACCTTACTAGTGACTCCTGAGTGATTAACATCTAATTTCTCTTTACAATAATTATCATCCCTGAATCAAACATTAAGGTCAGGAGAATAAAGGAAATGATCACTAACTCAAGAAGCTCTTGATTGTTAAACAAATTCTCCTTGTCAGCACCTTCAGAAATGTACAGAGAACAGTATGGAGAAATATGCAAACTGATGTTAGGGTGTAAATATCTAACAGTCAGTAAAAAGGCTGAACAGGCCAGGTGAAATTTCTGATTATAAGCCTGGGTCAAGAAAATGTACTGGGGCAAAAAGGAATAAACCAACTCTTGGCCCTCCCCTTCATTTCATTGTGAATTAGTTAGAGTAATTTGGTGTTACCTGATAAGTTTGAGTATTCTCATTGCCCGTTGGCTGGATAATGTGTGAATATTACAGGGAGAAGTTACATGTTAATCAATTTGCTTCTGGGAGTTCAAAGGTTAAGCTTTCTTTTGGTCTGTCCCTTGTGGACATGTAGCTGTAATAGAACTTGATGTGCGCTCACCATAAGGGTATTTTGTGTCTAGATTGCTCTCTGCTTGTCTCGCCCAAGGTAATTCATCGTCACTGCAGCCATTAGGCATCCCATTGTATCCAATACCAACAATCTTCTTTTCAGGATTCACCACACAGGCTCCCACTTGGGAGTTAGGATCTTTGCTTCTTTGAGCAGAAAGAAATGCGACCGCCATGAAGTATTCATCCCAACTGAGGTAATCCGTTCGCTTGCCAGTTTTTGATAGAGTTTCAGTAGCCATGTTGTTGTATGCTGTGTTCTCATCGTGTTCTGTGTCACCGATTTTGGCCACTTTTCCCTTATCTGTATCTTCTGATGAAATTAGCTGTCGCTTCCACATCGCTGGCTTAGAGTAAGGAGATCGTGAACCGATCGCATCGAAATCTTACCTACTTGTAGATGTTTTCTCAACGAAAAAATCTACGTTTCCTGAGATTAACTATTTTTTTCACTTCTTTGTGGTCACTTTTCTCGCTCTGGTAGAAAAGATTGCAAAGTTCTGAACAGAATACTGCGTCTTTAACGGTTTTAGAGGCTTTGTGCATCAAAACAATCAAGTTTTCCCGCGAAATTGTGAATATACGTGACATATAAAAAATACTTTCATTGGTCATTAGCGATAATCCCTCTTTTTCAAACCAATTAAACCTCTTGTTTTATAAGAATTCTCGAGCGCAGCATGGGACAGCGGTGTCCAGGCCTCACTTCCACGCAGGGTGTGTGGGAATAGGAAAGGCTACTCTGCCAAATTTGCATGCACAACAATTTACATTTGCATATTTTTCCCTGTTTGGGAGCTTTATTTGGCTTAGGAAAACATGTATCTACGTCTACCACGTATTTCCTGGAATGCCATGGCATCTTACGCAAGGCACTCTTCTTTGATTCTTTAGCGCAAGATGTACAAGTTCAATCAACGCACGAAGAGCTCGGGAGAGATCTTTGACGTTGTTCTCTCTGGAGGTTCGCCTTGGGGTTTTACATTGCAAGGGGGCAGTGAATTCAGAACGAAGCTTTGTGTTTTAAAGGTCAGTAGTCTACCTGATGCGTCCTTTCCCAGAAAATTTGGTTTGTTTAGTAATGAGAGGAGTCGAGTAGGAAATTAAATCGCCGCTAATAAAATCGTGGCGCGGGTCTCAACGGCTTCTTTGTGTGTGGTGTTTTGCTTGTACGCATTAGGATAGATTGTTAGGTATATTTTCTTAGCCAAAATATGGGAACACCAATAAGCAAGAAGAAACTCTGATTTAAAGATAACCGGTTGCATGGAACTTGGTGTAGTGTTACCTTCCTGGTTGGAGCGAAATCCAAGCCGTTCTCCGTTTCTGTTTTACTGCAATCGAATACCTGTTGTTATAGCTTCCGTAGGTTGATGCGATGCCTACGTTTTTAACATGCTTCGCACTTAATTACGTCTTTGAATGAGTATTCTGTATTGGAGGTGTTTCTTCGTAAACGTTTGAAACCTGAAGATCGAATGCTCTAAAAGAATCTTCGAGAAGTGTTGATCGGATATGCGACAAGTGCATCACAAAAATGTATGAATTTCTGTCTCGATGCCCACCACCAGTTGATGTGATTGACACTCGGAGCTTACTTACACTTATCGCGGGCCCTCTGGTGATTGTATTTTCGTGGGATGTTGCGCTCATGACAGACTGTAGAGTTTAAATATTGTGTTACGTCGAAGTTGTGCTAAAATCTTTCGCATTCCAGTGTAACGTCGCTGAGGGACGGAGGTCAGCTTTTCGCGTTCACGTCCATGTTTTGGGGATGAGCTTGAGCGAACGAAGGTTTGTCAATGAAGGTTACATTAAGGCATCTTTGTGCTCTTGCAATTTGACTAGATGATTTGGCTATATTGTTCGGACTGAACTGCTTCGCAGCAGCCAGAAATTATTTGAAGAATGGAAATATGGGTCAAAATATTTTGCGATCGATGCTTCTGTTCGCAGAAATTCTGAAGGGTTCGAATCACGGATGCATTTTGGCATGTTTCAAAATATGAAATATACAGACATGGTTGACTGACTCTTAAGCACAGGTCGTTCGTTTTCGCATCTCAAATCTTGCCTCACAGGAAAACGAATATTAATTTACCACGTAGTCGTGTTTCAATGAATTAGTAAGAATGCTCGGAATCCTTCCTTTTGATTGTTGTTGTTTATCTCGGTTTTCTCCGTCGTTTATATAATTTTGTCTAGATTATTTGTTTATGTGTCTGGGGAACTCTCAACATCCAAGACAAATTTTTGCCTTTTTGAAAGATTTCGTTTTGTTTAACAACTGTGTTTTTTTCTCGGCTTTCCTTCGTTTATCAACCTACCGTTACCCGGGGAAGTTCGAGGCGTTGTTTGAACTTTATACAGGTTAGGAATGTATTTTAGTTTGTCTTTGAAAGTACAAGTGATTCTCAACGCGTTGTATTAATTTCATGAAACTGCTTTGGCTGACTCATTTGTATTCGATAACTTCCTTGAAAACGTCGATTTTCATCCGTCAAGAAACCGCTTTTTTTTGTCCATGAAATTTTTATCAGATAGTTCGATGGCTTGAATTGACCGCCAGGGGACGTGTCAGAAACATATTTTTTTTGTTACAGTTTCGATTTAAGCTATTAAGTCTCAAGTTTTAATTTACGAGTTCGTTATCCAGACCGGACGATAATAAATATAAGAGGAAGCATTTGACGGATAAGCTAACAATGAGATTTAAAATGCCTGATGATGTGAAAGTAATTTTGTCTTTCCCAATTTCTACTGATGGCAGAAGTAAACCATATTTATAAAATGTTCTTTATAAAATATGCAGATTCTTTAACGACTTTGTTGACATTGCCTTTAATTGCACTGTGTTACGTTTATTTTGCACTTGAGTTTTTGTTACTGATTCTTCGGAAGGTTGCATTAGATTTTCATCTAATATCTTTGTATTAGTAAAGTTGTTCAACAGAAGAGCCTATAATTCTCTTACACATAAGACTTCACTTAAAGACTGTTAAAAGGTTTCATTTTGAAACTCACATAAAGCTCAGTGTTTCTGGTATGACTTAGCAAAGTCTTAACATTTTAATCAAGTAAATTTTAAGTTCCAATATATACTTCACATGCATTTTTTTCAGGTATTTCAAACTTCTGTTTTATGTATAGATTAATGGAATCTAAGCAGTTTATAAAAGCCAAAGATAGAACTTAATTCCTACCCTAGGAGAGTTTTTTTACCCCTTTTAATGTTTGCCCCAAGGAAAAGTTTGCTTATCAAGTTCTTAATCATATACATGGGTAACATAACTTAAAAAAAAAATTCGATTGGTATGGGGTCGACCCATAAAATATCAACATCTATACCTGGCTAAGGCACTAACTGTAGATTTAAAATATATAGGCATTTTTTTGCAAGACTGAAACTTCTGATTGAATGCACATGATTATACATATTTTTTTTTGGAATATATATATTCTACTTACAGCTAGTAATGTGTAATTCTGAGATCTACTCCAAGAGTATTTATGTGTACTGGCCAACTGTTATAGAGGTTTGTAATTGATAGGGAGGGACCTTCAATGAACAGGCATCCAATTCAGAGGATGGTAACAGTACCCTATGTTGCCTTATGCTGCAGTGAAAGGGATTAGCTCAAGGGCCTTCTGGGCCGCTTGGCTTGGTTGAAGACTGGTGTCTTATCTAGCAGGGGTAGACTCAATTGTAGCTACGTAGAACTACAGAGACTAGGAATAAGCAGAGGAAGTTAGTTATGTGGCTGTTGCCCGTGTTTGATTCCTGGATCTTGTGTCACCTGTGGGTTGAGTTTTGTTGTTGTTTCTCGTTCTTCCTCCAAGGGTTTTTCTCTGTGGAGCAAAAAAAAAAGCCACCTTGTGCCATGTCCACTGTTAAAGTGCCATTACTATTACTCAATATCACTATTATTACTAAGACCTTATTCACCTGAATTTTAACTTTTGCCTCAGGTAACTCCTGGTGGCAAAGCAGATCTCTCTCTGGCTATTGCAGTTGGGGATGAAATTATAGCAATAAATGGTATTGAATGTGCATCCAGAGCAGAAGCCATTGAATTAGTAAGGTGTTCAAGACAGAAGCTTAAAATTGCTTTAAGAAGGTTAGTTTCTCATCTATATTCTTATAGAAATGTGTAGAGATATTTAATATTTTAATTTTGTAGTGTTATGATTTAAAGTTGAGGTACCTCAAATTCAGTAAGCTGAGCTTGTAATAAAAACTTTAAGGCAGTCTGAAGAAATAACTTAGTTTACAAATTCTGAGTCCAAGTACCTAGACAGTTCATGGAGACTTTGACATGAAGAAAATAAGTAACATATTTGTCGCTGAGATAGAATAAATATATGAAAATCATATATTTTGAACTGCGGTATTTGATACGTATGATGGACGATCCTCGCAGTAGATAGCGCTATTTGAGCAATAGCGAAATTCAGACCTGAAAAAAATCAGGCCTGTACGGGACTCGAACCACTGACCTCTGCGATACTAGTGCAGCGCTCTAACCAATTGAGCTAACAAGCCAACTGAGAGCAGGCCGTTAAGTTGATTCGTAATGAACCCGTGAAAGTGATAAATGAGATAGAATAAATATATGAAAATCATATATTTTGAACTGCGGTATTTGATACGTATGATGGACGATCCTCGCAGTAGATAGCGCTATTTGAGCAATAGCGAAATTCAGACCTGAAAAAAATCAGGCCTGTACGGGACTCGAACCACTGACCTCTGCGATACTAGTGCAGCGCTCTAACCAATTGAGCTAACAAGCCAACTGAGAGCAGGCCGTTAAGTTGATTCNAGCGCTATCTACTGCGAGGATCGTCCATCATACGTATCAAATACCGCAGTTCAAAATATATGATTTTCATATATTTATTCTATCTCATTTATCACTTTCACGGGTTCATTACGAATCAACTTAACGGCCTGCTCTCAGTTGGCTTGTTAGCTCAATTGGTTAGAGCGCTGCACTAGTATCGCAGAGGTCAGTGGTTCGAGTCCCGTACAGGCCTGATTTTTTTCAGGTCTGAATTTCGCTATTGCTCAAATAGCGCTATCTACTGCGAGGATCGTCCATCATACGTATCAAATACCGCAGTTCAAAATATATGATTTTCATATATTTATTCTATCTCATTTATCACTTTCACGGGTTCATTACGAATCAACTTAACGGCCTGCTCTCAGTTGGCTTGTTAGCTCAATTGGTTAGAGCGCTGCACTAGTATCGCAGAGGTCAGTGGTTCGAGTCCCGTACAGGCCTGATTTTTTTCAGGTCTGAATTTCGCTATTGCTCAAATAGCGCTATCTACTGCGAGGATCGTCCATCATACGTATATTTGTCGCTACAATGTATCACTTTCTTCAATTCTAATGGTTCCAGCCTAGATTTGATCAAGACAACAAAATAAATTGAAACGAAAAAACAGCAAAATGATCTTGGTCAAGTAACTCCTGCAATTGACAGTTACATTTTCAATGTCTTCGACTTCTTCTTCCCAACATGTAAACAACAACAAGTATTGCACAAAGTTTGAGCATTTCTCCAAATTTCTGGAAAATATGCTTTTACAGCAGATTAAGATGGTAAATACAAAATTGGAGACCAGTGTCACTTTGGAACATGCATTAAAATTTTTGGCATATGTCTTTGCCTTCCAGCTGGAGAAAGCTTTGCCAAGTTATTTCTGGCAAACGTAGTCTCCCAGCAGATTAAGGTGGTATATTTAGGACTTGGTTCCTGTGAAATGATGAATGTCAATCATTTGTCAATAGGATGAGACAAAGCAATAACCTTAATCTCCCACAAGGTTCTGAACCCATGACCTATGGATGTTGTGGTTTCAGAGCTTTGGAGAACTTGTTGATCAGCGAAAGCCATGTACAAAGTTCTGTCATACAATATGGTCTCTCGTACTTATCAAAATAGTGACATCTTTTCTCAAGTCATATTTATTGTAAATTACCATTTTCTCCCTCTGTACAGGGTGGGTGGTGGACCAAGCCCTGTTGCTCAGTCCAATGGTGGTGTCATTAAGAAGAGTGGTGATGTGGTCCCAAATCTGTACAAAACAGCAAATGATTTTTATTCCACTTTTAATGTAGATAGACAGAAATTTGCTGAGATAACTCAGAACAAAAAATCTAGCAATATTTTCGATTCAACCGATAACCTTAGTGCTTCGCATGAAAACTTGTTAGAAAGCTATCGCCAAGTGGGCAATCAGCGGAATTTTGTCAATTCACCCACCATGGAGGAAACTGGTGACAGGTTGTCAAGGTCATCAACAGAGATAGCTAATGGAAGAACAAGTCCAGAAGTGGATGGTCTGAGGTGAGCATTTAGATAAAAGTTAAATGACAGAAGTAATGTGTGATTTAAAGCTATTTCTGATTTTTGATACAACATCAAAAACTCTCTTTGTTTTGCAAGGAAAGGTAGGTAGGTATCAAATTTGTAACCTTTTTTCCACACACCCCTTCATATTTACAGTTGAATTCTGGTTTAAGGTTTGAATGCCATTGAAATCTCCAAGTGCAGGTGGTACCTTTATTATCATTTATTTTCACGAGACTTCATTTTTGTGATTTTCGCAATTTAAAAAAATTCGCCAAATTAAAGTCCCGTGAAAAAATGGTGCTGCGAAAATTAAAGACGCGAACTTTAGAGACCTTTATAAAAAATCCTTTATTTAAGCGTTCTGTCTGCTAGGAGTTTACATACGAGTAGGATGGCTCAAATTTCAGCTCAATGCACACCCTTATTCCTCATCTTATTCTGACTCGTGCATCTCGCTTGTATCAGCCCTTTCAAAAGGTGTTGCTAAGTTGCTGACATTGTTGAACATTTCAGCCCGTTGTTTGTTGTGTTTGAGGTTTCTATTCCATTATGGTTAAATAAAATACAGAAATAGAAGTTTAAAAAACGAGCACCAGTTACTTGATTCGCGAAATTTAATTACCTTGAAAAACGGCAATTCGTCAAAATCGTGAATTGTAAGTCCTGCGAAATATTTTTATTCCAAATGCGGGTAATTAAAGTTGGGCGAAAATAAGTGATAATAAGGTTGTAAATTCTTGTATTCCATGTTTAGTAGTGAGATTGAAATTGTATGGTGACTGGAGTGTGCTTGTCTTTTTAACAAAGAAAGTTATTGGACTGACTGCACCAAGTGTCATGACAATAAAGGGAATTGGGTCAAACTGAACCATCTTGTTAAAAATAAAAAACTGTCTGCTGTCATTGTTAAAAACATTTTGAGCTTCTGATAAATTGAAAGCCTTTTGTGTACTAAGTAAAAATGGGTAACTGTCATCCTAATAAATATTTAACTCTGTATCTGCCTAACAATATTTTAGCCCAAACTTCTGACAAATCTCCTTGCTAAATAGAGATGAAATACCAATATACAATGTCATTAAGTCATCTTAATATATTCTAAAATTAATTCTGAAATATAAGGAATTTGACAGAAAGCTATTAACGTACATATTGTGAATTCAAAACAATCAAAATGAATTGTCATTTAACTGAATTTTTATCTCATTGTATTTGTGGTTGATAAAAGAAGGATGAACTGTCGGTATATCTACAGCATGATAACTTAAAATTAAACACTTTCCTGCCAGACGAATCAACTCGTTGAATAGTGTAACTGGCAAAAGATTCCCAAATAGTACAGCCCTTCTTGGAGCAGCACAATTCAACCATTCTGGAGTGGAGATTTATGGACGAACGTGGAGCTTAAGGCGGTAATTTATAACAATGTAAAATCTTAAAGAAAGATATTATTCATGTGTCACAAACTTGGGACAAAAAAAAATCTTGAGTACCCTTGAAGGATTCAAACTGTGGAATTTGTCGTCTACCACTCTGCATATAGGTCTGCTCAAGGTTCCATTCCTCAATTGGAATTCTAATTTATTTTGTGCCACACTTGTGACAAATGAATGGTAAATTTTCCTCATATGACCAGCAAGCTTATCATATGAGAACGATGTTTACCTTAATAATTTTTTTCCAAATCAATATACATATAATTCATTTTAATGAAAAAGTTCTTACTTAGAATTATGTGTTCATGCATAATCACTTTTATTAACTTCATTAACTCCCAAGATTTGATTGGTAATTCTCCCCTCTAGCTGCTACATGTTACCTTGTAAAATTAGTCACAAGAATTCGGTGTTAGATCAAGCTAACAACTTCTACTTGATTCATATAAGTATTCTTGTCACCTGTTTACTGGACAATGTATGGATATTCTTGGGAGAAGTTACAGGTTAATCACTACTGGGAGTTAAAGCGTTAAAACTCATTTACTTTAATGTTCACCCAGTGAGAGTGCCTTTAATATCACAGAATTATATACAGCTGTAAATCGTTTTGACCTGTGAATAAAAGCAAATAATGAAAGAAGTGATCTTCACCAAATAAATGCAATTGAAGAAAACAAGAAAATATGCAAAACTAAGCCTAAAAAACCTCAGGATTCTGCTGTGATAATACAGCTGCCTCCTAGACTCTAGTGGGCTGCAAAAGCCAACTGAGCTACAAAGCCACTTGTTGGGAGTGACAGATTTGAAAGCTGCATTAATTGCTGAATATTATTTAATATAACTATGTGCATACTGGTTCAAAGTGTATCTGCCCTACTCACTAGCTGACTCAGTATTTTGTGAATTGCAAACAGGAAACCAACTTTGTGCTCATATTGTCTAAAAAGTGAGTTTGTTTGTGTCGTTTCCCTTTCCAGTGGTGTCAGTCTCCCAGAGGGTCAATGGCCTGTGATGCATCATCATCATCAACGCATGCATACCAGTCCTGGCCGTATACAGAAGGTGACAGTAAAGAGCACCAACATAAAGTCACCAGTGTCACCAAGGGGTTCCCCACCAGACAAAGACACTGAAAAGTAAGATGAAATGTTCAGGCTGTAATCTCCTTTTTTTAAGCAGACAGTGTGAGTCTTTTGGTCAGTGGAGACAAATGAGTGAGACGGTGGGAGAAAATTGGCTGGGTTTCGCTATTTTTGTTTCTCACCTTGCTTTTTTTTCTCACCTTGCTTTTTGTTTCATCCGCTTAAGCTGAATGCCTAGAAATTTCGAGAGACATAGTTGCTTGTGGTTAGCTTGTTAGGTTTCACATTAAAAAGGTCATTATTTCAGCCCTGACCAGGAAACTTTAACATTTGACCTCTAAGAGTGACTAACATCTAATTTCTCCTTACAATATCACCCCTGGATCACACGATAAGGTCAGGAGAATACAGGAAATGATCAACAACTTAACAAGCTCTTGATTGTTAAACAAATTCTCCTTGGCGGCACTTCAGGAAAGTATAGGGAACATTGGGAGAATATGCATACTGATGAGAGGTTTTTTTTTTGTTTGTTTGTTTGTGTTTTTTTTTTTTTAATAAAGTCAACACCCAACCCGTAAGAACCCCAACGATTGGGTTGGGCGGTGGCTGATGGATCAACCAGGACCCTTACATCATCAACTTAGTGTGACAAACAGTGGCTCAGCAACACTAGATTACAGAGATACACCAGACAGAAGAATAAGTCTGCATGAGAGGACATCTGCTAACAAGAGGTATAGAAATTCTAAGACAAGATAAAATAGAATTGAGTTTTATTACTTGGCTGGCCTTGCTAGTGGGCAAGGTGAAGCGGATCTTATGTTCTAATTCGCTTGTAGAGCTTCTGTGGTACTCGGGAGTGGCTGTTTTGAGTCCTGCTAAATGAAAAAGGGCTTTGTAGCCTCTTAAAATGCTAGGTAACGTGAAAGCAACTCAATATTGTTTCAAGTTATTTTTCTGGTAGTATAAAAGATTTGTATTTGTTTTTTTTTTCAAATTCATTCTGTGCTCGAGAAATGTATTTGAATTTTAACAGCCAAAAGAGAGAAAAAAGCAAGAGAAAACAATATTCTCTTGGAAAACGATTGATTTCGCGATTTTTGTCCGCAGTTCTTCATTGTTATCTGCCCTCGTAATAAATCCTTTATTGAATAAGTTGGACTCAACAGGGCAGTGATAATTTTTTCTAGAGACGCGTTCTTTCAAAGAACTGTGTATTAAAAGGGTAATTTCTGCAAGGTCTTCAAACTGAAATACCAAAGGAGACCTAATCAGAGCTCGTTAATATGATTAAAAAACCAAGAATTCTCGCAGGATTCATAAGGGAGATTTGAGGTTCTTCGTTTCCATAAACCCTACAACTTTCATATTACCTGATACATTTAGTTTCCACCCTTGCCTCACAATTCCCCGCTGTCTGGCTCTCTAGAGGACTTGCTGATATAGCCACTGATCGAGTAACTGAAAGATTGGTGATTATATGATTGATTGATTCATTTATTTTTTTTATTTATTTTTGAATTTTTTTACCACGGCAGCCAATCGCTCCCACGAAGCAAAAGTTTCGGTGGCCCCACTTCTTACGGAGTCACAGTAACAGCTACGGCGGTGAAACGAAACGAATTCGGTCTCCCAGCGAATAACCAAAGAACAGCGCAACGCTATAGTTCATCAAACTTGCTACAAGAAAGGCAACAGCGGGTGGGCCTTGTCAGTGACATACATCCAAACGAGATATCTGCACGCCAAGCAGATATGTCTTGGAACTCGTCAGTGTATGCACAGCCAGGTGACAGCGTAGAACTGCGCTTGCCTAGGGAGATGATGGGTCCCAAAATGACTACAAGTGAGAGCACTTCGAGCCTCGATTCCATTGGTACAATGGATTCCTCTGTGAGTGGTGCGCGCAGACAAGGACCCGCTCCTCCCCCAAGACGCAGCGTGTCAAAGCTGCTGAGCTCATTCAGGACAAGCGGTCGCCGTCGCGTCCCTGATGAGGTACAGATTCCACCGAGGTTCGGTGCAGTTTCGCGAATATCGAGAATTGCCAGCGATCAGCCGAAGCATAGTGTGTCCAGGTCCTGGCCCACAGACCACGTGGACGGTAAGTCTACCGGAAATGAGGCGTCAAGGCAGTCTTGGCATGCCGAGCCAGCAGTCGCGTCCCACCAGGACAGAAGAGAAGCGAATTCCTCAATTTCCTCTTCATCCGGCGATGCTACGCCGGAAAGAAAAATATCCAAGACTTCGAGCATGAGGTATAGTTCATCTGTCGTCATCAAAACCATGCGTTCGTCATCCTCTTCCTCTATGGATGAGAAAAGCACTGCTCCCACGGTGTACCGGTCTGGCCAGATTGGACTGGAAGCTGAGAAAACCCCGTCGGATGATCGGGCCCAAACTCTCCCAGCCAGGCAACAATTTAGCGATGTAAACCCGCCGGCGAAAATTACCGACGATTTTAGTCGTTGGCCGCCTTCAAACGAGAGGGAAACTGCGGGAAAAAACAGATATGAAGACACACCGATATTGCAAAGACTTATGAAGGATAATGCCAAGAGTTTGGACACGTCTCCAAGCGTCAAATCAAGAATCGCCAATTTCGAAGGGGGGTTGAAGAAATCAGCTCCCGGGCCTCCACCTCAAGAGCGACCTCGCCTCCAGCCCCGTTCATTCAGTCAAGGAAAACTGGACCTTTCTCAGCAACCATTAAAAGAATCGATCGCAAATCAGTAAGTTTTGGTATTGATCGTAAAGTATCTGTAACCATTTGAATGTTGTATGCTGGTCCGCTTTGTTTCGGTCTTTCGCATTTAGAGTTTGCGGTTTTCATTTTCGCCTCAAAAAAGTAAGAAATACTCAAACAAGAAAAGCTCACTCATCTACTTGAAATTATTTTCATTCCGTGGAATTTGTTAACCAACAATACAAATTTTTTTTTCAAGACTGCTACTTAAGGTGTCGTGATCTCTCTCAACTTAAAATGCCGATGTCTTGTATTGTGTGTGTAGTTCACGGCCCAATTTCGACACTGGTTAGGTTATGGTTTTGAAATACTTTGATGTGTTTGGTTCGTCGCTTCATTTTTAGTAGGATTGGAACAACCTTCAACGGGGAAAGTTAAACGGCTTTCCGCCACATTAGTTTAAATTACATTTTATGCTGAGTTTTTTAGGGCGAGTCATGGACTAATGCACCGGAAGCAAAGGTATATCACTCAGCTTTCCATTTAAAATTGCGAATATTGAATTGAGTTTGACAGTTGAGTGACATACAGGAATGTGTGATCGGAATTTAAGACAATCGACATATCGTTAAATGCGTATCCTCAGCTCAGAGGCTGTTATTTTTATTTTGTTGCGATAAATCGAAGGGAAAAGACGTTCAAACCAATTACTGATATTGAAACCACAACATAATTACATTTTTGGAGGGCCGCGGAAAGGTTTGGTGCGTTTTTAATTTTAAACTATCACCTACAGTGACAATGACCTGAGCAGCGCAAAGTAATAAAGAAAATTCCTTTGTCGTCACTTTTAGACCGTTTCGCCTTTACTTTAATTAAACGCCCAAAAACCCCTCAAGCTACGCAGGCCACGGACCGCTAACCGCTCACTGTTTATCTTAACATAATGTTCGATTGATTAATACAATTGAAAAGAATCTCGAGATGCTCGGGCAATAGTGAAAAATCAGGGGAGAAGGGTTAGTGGAGTAGAAGTCATTCCTTACCCACCCTCCCCCTCCCCTTCCCCCTTTTCCTCATCCCGCACTTGTGGTAACAGTTTCGCGCTGGGAAATTTTTCATTTTAAACACGAACCATGTGTCAATAGGTGACCTTTGAGCTTTTATTGACGGATCCATAATTTGTTGTTTGCAGTCATGCTGTGTTCCCCATATGTGGCCTTTTCTAACTAATGAGATAATCCATTGTTGATTTAATGAACCTCTCCAGCTGTGTATTAGTCTTGTTTATTTCTCCGTCGTCGCCCAGTATTGCAACGTGATCTAATTACAGGCCTTTTTCCTCGCCAGGTCCTCGTCCATGGATTCACTTCTCGATACCAGGTCTCCTGGGAAACACGACTCAGCTTCTAAATCCCAAGACCAAGATAAATCACCGATCCAAGGCGACCAAGATCGAGCGAAACAATGGGAAGCGAGCCTGCGTAGATCGGACGAAGAATTCAGGAGACCGTCGCGGAGCACGTCCAATGCTCAAAACAGTCTCGGTTCAAGGGAACCAAGGCTCTATATTGAAACCTCGCCGTTGCGTCAGGAACGACAGCAAGCTCTGGAAAAGCCATTGAAGCAGGTGGAAATCTCCACACGAAATGAAAACAGGGTTAATTTGGCGACAGAAAGAGTTATTCCACAGAACGAAAAGCCTTCATTAAACTCAAATATTCCCGACGTAGACTTCAGTAGAAAGTCAGCAGAAGAAGAACCTCCACATCCCTCAAATGAAGACGAAAACGACGTGTTTTGGGATGCGGATGATTCTTTGCCGCCTCCGCCCCCCTTGGAACTCCTCCACCCCCTAGAAATGTCACAAGACAACTTACCCTTGCCCTCCCCTCCACGGGAAGTTCTGGTCGAGTTTCCGTCATCGACAGAGGACTATGAATCGAGACGGGATCGACTTGAACAGGAGACACTTGAGCAAAACGGTGTGAATAGTAGTGATGTGATAAAACCTGTCGGATCTTTTGCGGTAGAATCGAGCGTGGAAACTAACCACAAAACCCAAGTCGAACTAAATGGACCAGGCAAGCTGGAAACTAGTGGATTATCCAGTACTGCGCTAGACTTCTCCGGTAGCACTGATCTGTCGTCAAATGATACATCTCTTACAGAGGAGAAGAAGTATATCTCCCCCAGGGCCCCTCCACCGGCTCCACTTGTAATAACGTCTACCCCTAGCGAATTTGAGGGGTCCAACGAGAGGGGCACTTGTTTAGATGTTCCCAACAGTCCTCGCAGTGCAAGTTCCAACACGTCCACGCCATCCGGAAGCCGCCCTAACAGTATGTTGAGTCCGAAACTGGTAGAATTGGACAAAGAAAAGGTAAGCTGTTAGGCAGTAGTCGAATACCTTTCAGAGGCCTGCATGGCCGAGCCTGGGATGCATAGGATAGGATAGGATAGGATAACTTTATTTATACACGGTTTTTCCATCAAGTGATTTAATTAATTCTATACTAGAAACCTATCTATCTAACTACAATAAGAATTTGATAATAACAATTCAAATAAAAGAAATAAATAAAAAATTCTGCTTTTCATGGAGGCCGTGTCTAAAATTTACTTAGAATTAAGATCTTACTTTAAACTGTGGCGACTTAATTTAGATTTGAAATCAGTCAGCGAAGACGCTTGTCTCAGGTCTACAGGTAAGTTGTTCCACAATTGAGCTCCGCTGTACAAAAAAAAACTTCTCTTGAGATAGTCAGTTCGAGGTTGTGGAAGAACCAATTTGTTTTCGGTATTCCTTAAACGATAAGCACTTACACTGTCACGATATACAAATCTTGATCTCAGATAATCAAGTGTCGTACCATGTAATGTTTAATACATGAGAATAGATTTCTGTTCCAATCTTTGATAGTAGAGTTTTCGCCACCCTAGCGCCCGGAACAAATCATACAAATTACTATCATAGCTCGCTGACATTAGGATGCGAGCTGCCCGATTTTGCAGCCTTTGTAGTTTTTCAGAAAGGCCTTTGTTACAGTTTCCCCACACTACGTTACACTAATCAAAATGTGGTTGAATAAGGCTATTATTCAGGCCATGGTTCTTTATGTTTCTTGGACTGAGTTGAGATCTTACCCTCCTCGTTTTACCAAGCAACGCGACATTCACTAATGATCACACTCCAACACAGCGGTCATACGTGGGGCATGCGAAAAGGGGAGCAGTTCTGGCAGCCTGCGCGCCAATTTCCCGCGAAAAATGTCAAAGAATCCAATTATGCTCCTGGGTGGAAAGAGGTACCATGAAATCAGACTAGGTCTCGAATCGGGCGTTTCGAATAGGAGACTAGTGCCTAGCCTTTGTCCGTCTGTCCTCTTTTTGTGAGGATGTTTGTTTTCTTTCGGTTACGCAGGCTGATCTTGTGGAAAGCATGAAGCAGAAAATAGTGGATCTGAGATCGCAAATGGACGAAATTAAAGATGAAATCGATGGCAACGAGGCACTGGGGCAGAGAGTCACTAAGGTGGTGGAAGGAAAGACGAGCGCTACCCAGTTTTCTAAGTATCAGCTTTTTACAGGCGAGCTGAACAAGATTATAGGACTGTTACTGATACTCACACAGAGAATGCACAGATATGAAATGATGCTCCATGATTTGGACATGTCTGAAGAAGCCGACAGACAACAAAGAGTTAGTAGGATATCCTGAATTTTTACGAATGCAATTTTTTTTTCAGCTATTGCCGATATTTTTATCTTGAGTGGGAGAAGCTTCAACATGCATTACTTCTGCTCAGACAGGTGTTTATCCTCCCATGTTCGATTCATACGTGCGCGAGTCATGTAAACTGTTCGTTAATTGCTCTTTGCGTTCGTGCCTGACTCCTTTGCTGGCCGAGACTTTTTTTGTTTATTTTATTTTCACATGTTTCCTCATCGTTTTTTTAGTCGTACCTTGCCTAGAGAGGAGTCTTCCTTCCCGAACTGCCCTCTAAAAGTATTAAAGGAAGGTTAGCTAGAATGCTAGGCCTTTTCGCTACTTTATAACATTTACAAGAGCGTCTTTTTATTGTTCCAGGATGTTTTGCTCGATAAAATCGACAAAGTCACTCTGCAACACGAGGAGGCTTGTAAAATCAAGGAAGTAAACGACAAGCGCGGTGAGGTAGTGTCCAGGATTTTAGAAAATTGCCTGGAAGAAGAGGAATATGCAGATTTTCAGTACTACATAGACATGAAAACGCAGCTCGCTCTTATGCACGCGGAAATTCGGGACAAGGTCAAGATGGGAGAGGAAAGGCTGAACACTTTAAATTCGACAAAGATCGACTGGAGCATTCTTAGTTTGACGTGAGTGTCGCCAAAGTTCCACCGACTGATGTTGGCTGAAGAGTTTCCGAAGATTGACCGCCTACAAATGTCGGCCGAAAATTGACCAACCAAGGCCATCTGATGTGGTAGGAATTATCGTTGGGTTTTAAAAGGAATGGTTGCAAGAACAAGACCATTTTGCCGAGTTTCATTTAAGGGAGGTACCGTCACCAGATACATTTTGATGTAGTTTTTTCTTTTTTCCTTTTTGGCCATAAACGAAGTCGGACCAAGCCATTGGTCTGAAAATTAAAATATTTTCGAACCTTATGGGAAAAAGTCCCGAGTAGTTTGACCAGGGACATTTTTAAGTAGTGACTAGGCACGAAAACTCGTCAGCGTGGCGAAGTTGTCATATCGTCTTACAATGATTTCGTCGCATCGGGTAGATATATTTTGGTTTTCGGTAAGCAATTTTCGTGAAAGGAATATTCTGTCTCAATAGGGCGATAAGGTACTTAGAGCTGAAAGCAGTGAGTCACAGCACCCGGGCGAACTAGTAAACAACTTATACGTGCATATGGTTTATTTGGTCGTGTAGATTTCATTAATATTCACAACTTTCGAGATAAATTTACTAAAAACAAATTATTTTCTTCTCTGCCGAATGTAAAACCCAAAAATAACAGATAACCTTTTTTTCTCAACGGTTAATACATGCGATTGAGTATTTTTTCTCACCACAAAGTTACCGAATCATCAGTCGTAGACCAAAGCAAAAAATATTAAAATTTGTATCATACCATAGGGTTACTTAGAAGCATAGAATTTCTTCATTGGGAAAATCTCTGTTTCATGTTCTAATTTGCCGAAATATGGCAGCGAATTCTTTAAAATGTGTAACTCAGATGGTGTTATTTCAAAGTAAGCCGCCAATTTGTTCAGTCTTTTCGTGCTGGGTGTGTTGAAAATACAGACTATAATTTTAGGCATCGTGAAGTTGGTATTTGCCCATTGTAGTAACACAAGTTCAACTCTCTCACCCCCAAAAGTGACGAAGACTTATTTTTTCCTTACTATTCGGTACAAATTTAAGCAGGAAAAGGACGAAAATAGAGGAGATGTAAACTAGATTATTTGATCGAACACCAAATTCTCAGTACTTAAATCAAGGAAGTGCACGGCAGATGGTAAGGAGAATTGCTACGTTCATCTAAGGAGTGAGAGGGTGATGTTAACATGCGGTTTTTGCGAAACCGCAGTAGGTCAGCTGGGCAAAGTTTAAATAAATTACGATTGAAGGAGTTGTTCTCTATCCAATAAATGCATTTCACTATATTTGATATGAAGCAGTCGGATATTTGGATCGCTTTTTTTTCATTAGTTTTGTATCTCGTGTCTCCTTTTAAAACAAAAAGAGTATGAAACCCTAGCAAACAAAAGAAGCTATGGTAATAATAATTTATAACTGATTGAAAAAATTTGTGCGTTTCGGCCAGAAGCTTTATTTACTACGTTATCGTGCACTGGGGTTTGTACAAAACAACAAAGCGGATTCATCTATTATATGTAGTTGTGTATTTTTTTGTCCACGATTTGTTTTCTTCATACCCTCTTAGCTTAAACTTAAATTGCAAACATTCTCTTAGAATTGTGACATTAACAGCAAGTTTGTAATGAAAACTGTCTCGATTAAAACGTGTCGTGATTTTTAATTTCTCGACAACTGCATTGATAGGGCGAATGCGTGGGGTGAGCATGTCCTATAGGGCTTTACTGAATCCGCTGTCCTCTGAGTTTGTTGTATAAATAATTATTTCTCAAATGAAAAAAAGTCTGAGGAAGGGTTTCTTTCACTGGGAGAATTTTGGAACAGATTATCGTTAAAGGGAGAACGTTGGAAATGCAATTTTGTGGTCATAGTTTGTAATATTTTCTTCCTCTGGTTGTCACTGAAACAAGCTGCATTGCAAAAACACGTGAAGAAGGAGGTTTCTTCAACGTGTAGGAGATATTCTAGATGAAATAAATGGTTAGCTTATTTATCGTTTGTGTGTCTTTGTTTCGTTTCTTTATTTGTTTGCTTTCGTTTGAAGGCTCTTTTATTATCACTCAATAATAATTATATTACATCTGTAGTTATTTACATGATAGAGTCTCCATTATAGATGATGCCAGTGCTATAAGCCATGGGATGTAGGATACCTTGAGTATAACAGAGTTAGCGTCACGGTAACTGATCGTTTCTCTTAGGCAGTGGTTTCGCTAACGCCCACATCCCAGAAGTCTTGAGTCGTTTCGCCGACTTCTCAGGGCAGTTCGCTAACATCTATTTCGTTTCGCTGGCGTGTTACAAACGTTTAATGATGCTATCGGTAGAACTTTATCGCCCTCTAATCGACCGAAAACTCGTTAGGGAGTTAGATCGTTTCAATACAAACCGAGAGTCGATTTGATACAAGTCAACTCAAGACAAAAAGTTAGCGAACTGGTCGTCAGCGAAACGACCGCAATGCACCCTCACTCTAGTAATCAGAAGAACTTCGATTTAAATTCTGTATTTCCGTTTTTTTTTTTTTTTTCTCAACTGTTTTTCTTTCTGTATGCGTGTGCGTGAGTGTGTGGGTGAGGTGTGCGTGCGCGCGTGTGTATGCGTGCGTGTGCCTCATGAGTAAGTGATTATTCATGTTGTTCCCATTGTTTACTCAGGGACTGAACTTACTCTGTAATTTCGTTCTGCCCCTCTTCTCACTTTTGTACAGCATTTTCGACAAGAAAACGGACACAATGTCTGTAAAGCTTGACGGTAATTAGTGCTGAATAGAAACAAGATAAACGGGTTGACCGATGAACTGAGCAACGGAAGCATGAAATAAAAAATACCCAACATCCACTTGCACTCGTCTTTAAGAAGAAACTTAGGAACTGTGGCTTTTATGATCAAGAACATTGTATAGAGTAAATAACAACCAACAAATACTGCCACGATCGACTTAAATAACCTCATAATGTTTTGACTATGCTTGTATCTCTTCATTTGGAAACTATTTTGGTTTGCGTCATCGCATGGTATTGCCTTTCTTACCAGAGCGCGCACAATGACAGTGTAAAGAATACTAATTGATATTAATGGAACCGCAAAAAACACGAGAAAGGTTGTAGCATAGAAAAGCATAATCATCGAAGAATTCCATGAAAATCTGCAGAGGGCTATCTGGTCAACCGCCTCTACCTCAAAATACAAGATATGAGGCAAGGAATGTACTATCGGGATCAACCACGCTGCAAGTATTAAGACTGCTCTTGTTTTTCGTGTAAATAGAATTACTTTTAAAGGATACACTATCGCGATGTACCTCTCTACCGCGATCAATAGCATGCTAAGGATAGACACCAAGTACGACAGTAGTCTTACGTAGGCCCCTGTTTTGCACGCAGCTGAAGCTAGAGTACCGTGGAGCAGACTTCCTCTACTTGTAATGATTTCGTGAGTAAGGTACACTGGCCAGGTGAATAGAGCGCCAAGAAAATCAGAAATGGCCATGTTGACATAATAGAAGTTAGTGCTTGTCTTTAGAATTGGCGTCTTGGACACCACGATAACGACAAGAATGTTGCCAACGAAAGCTGCCAAGCTTATTACAACCAAAAGCGGTGTGAAGAATATTGAGGAAAAGAGCCAACACGATCTTTCGACATCGGGAAAAGTAGAGTTGTTCATGATGCGTTAATGCAGTCGGTTCTTTATCAAAAGCTGCATGTCGAATATTATCCTTAATTGTATTTAGGGAGTTTCATGGCTTCGTCTTGTATCTGTTTTCCTCAATTTCAACTCAGATCACCACGTTACATTTTTCCCTTCTCTTGACACCTACAACAAAATTACTATCAACAGTTACCATACATACACAAAAAAAAAAAAAATTTGGCGTACGTGAGCAGATAGACGTCAATTTGTGCAGTCATCAAAGGCAATTGGGCGTTAATTCTCCCATTTGTGTAATGACATTCGCCCCTTAGTCGACACCTAATTATTAACGATTAAATATGCTTGTGACAGTAATTTTATCAAAACCTAATGAGAACGGAAAAAAATTAGTATTGAATTTCTTTGCAGGTGCCCAAAAATGTTTGAACAACTGCTTTGTTGGGTGAAATTGCTGCTCTAACCTGACATTAATCAGTACGTGATAACATTATTGCCTCAGGCCATAAATTTCTTTGGCAGGATAAAAGCTGACTTAAAAGGAAAGTGCTGTCAAAGGTATGGTCGAAAAACAAAGTTGAGATTGGAAGAATAAAAAAAAGGACGCAATGAGCACCTCTGATTCTTTTGCGCCAATCATTTACTCCAATGTTTCTCATTAACTTCTCTCAAATTTTAAATTATCTTTCATCATCATTTTCAAATCCATCTCCTCTCCCTTTATTATCCCATCATCGATTCGCCTTTTCCAAATGCACCCCAGAGACATGATCTGTCATTAAATCATAACTGTTCTCAAAATTTATCATCGTGAACCACAACCTAACAGAGCCGTTTTTGAATAATAATTATAATAATAATAATAAAAAATCTTAGCTAAGTAAAACTATTAAACTGTTTAAAATGCTGGAAAAGGCATTCGACAGGAATGTTCCCTTAAATGAGGGTTCAGATTGGATTAACCATCACCAGTAAAACGGAAAAAAAAAGTTTGACGACAAGCGTAATATCTAAAAAAATTTGACTGTAAGTCTTTTAATCGCAACGGAAAGAACTTAACCGTTAGTTCTAAAATGGCCAAAACTTTAATCATCAGCCGTAAGAGCCATTACCCTTGCCCACTGAGACCATCTTAAATGCTTATCAAATTTACTTAAAAAAATGTTTTTTTCCTCACCTCGCCCTTAGAGATCAGATAACCCAATCTAATGTTTATCGAGAAGGTATACTGGAGGTTCACTGTAGTTTCTTTATATTGTATATCGATACCACTTTCTTGGTAGCTCTCACCCTTTCGGCAAATCGGTTTTAAAGAAACTGAAGAAAGTTTAGGAGAAATTCACTGTTTTGAAGTACAGATAAATGTTAAAAAGGCATACGAAATCTATTATTTTCATAATGACATATATATCATCTTGACTGATAAAGGTGAATTTTAATGTTGCGTGTTTTGGGCGCTAAAAACATGAAACAACTTTAATTTTTTTTTTATTTTAATCAAAGTTACCCTAAGAATAAATATCTCATCCTACCCAAAACCGTTCAGCAGAATTCGTAAGAATCAACGAAAAAAAAAAAAAAAAAAACGCGATGATAAAAAGAGAAAATGCAATTTAAATTTCTTTATAAATTTGAGTACACAAGGAACGATATTTGGTTTTCAAGGCAAAATTATTGATATCCCTACTCACTAGTCGAGAAAAAAAAAAGGAGAAAGAAGACGAGAAAGAAAAAATAATTTCCTATCTCACCTCAACCGTGGCAATCCCAAAAATTCAAGATTTAGTGCCCTTGCTGTGCATGTTAAGTATGAATCCACTGAGAGTTTATTTGACATATAAGTGACTATCCAATATCGCATTTATTTAATTAATATCTCAGGGAAAAAAATTTCCGACAATGGAACGAAAGCTTATTCAAGAAAACTGCTGATTGGTGCAATAGAGAAATCTATCTTTACAAAGGAGATTGGAGTTTTAAGAGTTCATTGATATAGTATATAATCCCACTAACTCGAACTCGGTTAACAAGAACCCTCTCCCCGGTAACTCGAACAAGACCCGATTTTCCTTGACCCCATTTTTTTCAGTCATTTACCATCATCTATTTCCAACCCCTACAAACTTGAGCCATTCTTTATTTCCCTTGGTAATGCGAGTTAGACACCGGGTTATTAGCGAGGTTCTACTGTGATGAAAAGCAATCTTCTTGGATATGGATTTTATATATTCGAAGATTTCCCCTCTGTCCATCTTCATGGAGGCTCAGAAGCCAATTATTTGCAGCTTCATGTTTACATTTTGAGTGAACTTTTTTTCTCAGCCTCTATTACCCAATAATTTGAATATGTCAACAAAGTTGAAATGGTAAATTGGCCACCGTATCAACGAACGTACGCTTTTCATTTCACTAATTTATTCGTGTTTTTCTCGTTGCCATGTTCCCACCAATCACGTAGCTCCTTTTTCTACCTTTAAAAGCAGACACAACCCACAACTCCGATATTCGCTCCAACGAAGGGCTAATGCTCGAAACGTCAGCTTTTATAATCGTAACTGTGGCTAATTTACCATTTCAACTTTGTTGATATATTCAAATTATTTCGTTACCCCCACCGATGCAGCCCCAAACAGTTTCTTTAGAAACTATTAGCCTTTATTCATTTCTATTACCCAATACATACATAATTCACGTGTAATAATAAACATACCTTTTTCAAATTTCAAAAGGAAGTCACTACGAAGTCATTCAGTGACGACGGAAGCCAAGAACATCAACAAACAAAAACAAAAAAGAAACCAGAAACACAGAAATCCTAGATGGCAAAGGAAAAAATACCTCCGGCATTTCAAGTGGATTTATTCCTTGAAAATAGATAGAAGGTTTGCACTTTTTATATAAAAAAAGAACTGCTGGCATAGTCAACAACAAGCATATTTTTGAGCATAGCTTAAAAAAATCGGCCAGTGCTGGAAGTATACTAGCACAACCATTCAGGGCCTGAATTGATATCAAGACTACTTTTTGCTAGGGTTTGAAGTCACGAGATATCAAGTTATTTCATTAACCTTAATTTGAACAATGTCAAAGGATTTGAGGTGGACATCTTAAAGGAGAAGTATATCCAGAAACCATAGTATTTTGATCTCCCTCAAATAAATACAGAAAAAATAACATAGAATGTTATCACGATGACTGTTGTTTCAGATTCCATCTGCAAAGTGTACTATGAACGACGCGTGGTGGCCTCGCAAGTGCAGCCAAGTCACTAAGCTGTTTTCAAAATGACAGCGTCTACAATGGAATTGTAAGCATACTTGAAGACAATTTTCAAAGAGTTAGGCTATTTTTCTCGAAACGGGAAAAGAGGTAAATTTTAATATATACTTCTTTCAATCGCGGGGATGAAAATGATATGTTTTGCAGAGCATGTGATGGCATTGAATTGAGGATTGAGCTGAACTGATACGCTGGCTCTCCAACTTACTCCTCGGGGATTTTTATATATTATGTGACCAATCGATTATCAAGAATCTTCGAACCAGGTGATTTTGTATGGTTATTCATTTTATCGTGTTTGTTAAATTCAACAAATCACTAATTTACTGACTATCGGGGGGTCTCAGTGAGGTTAAATGATAGCCGTGAAACGGCCAAAGAGTTTTGTCGGTTTTAGTTGTAAAAGTTGACAAATTTTCACCGATGATCGTAACAAGAGTTAACCGTGAAAAGTATTTCTGGTGACAGCAAGGGAATGATATCAACTGTAAGCTGAAAGAAATGGCTAGAATTTTAACCGATAGCAATAAAAGCCATCACCAACTGAGACCTTCATATCGGTCTATCATGATTACCGTTTGATTCAGGGAACTAATTCAACAAATTAACGCGATTGAGCTGCAAATAAAAATTACACGAACACTTATGCTTGTTGTTTTCATTTGCAGTCGGATCATTTTTATCTTAATTTGTTTTACCGTAGAACTCTAGCAATAAATAGTGTCTTTATTAATTGACGTCATTGTAATTCTTAAAACCCCGGAACGTCGTTTATTTGTTTTATACATGTCGTTTACTAGTTTATGTTTCTCGAAACTTTTTTCAGTTTGCCAGTGCAAAATAAAGTCCATTTTCTTTGTTTTTGTTTGCTTATTTTACTCGCGGTATTTTACGCCCTTACTCAACGCTAAAAGATGATTTCAAAAAACCGCAACATAATTTCACTCGTGATTCATCAACTTATTTATAATTCATGCCTCTTTAAGAAATTGTAAACGAATCCGTAACCAAACCAATCAGGTTACACAAGATGATACTTGCTTTAGAAATAACGTCCGTATCTTCCACAGCCTTAGATAATAGTCATCAGCTTTTCTAACATGATGTGGATTTTGAATGCGATTTTTTTTCTGAATTTTATCGATACAAAAGTCAGTGGCGCAGAAGTTGACGGTTCACAAATCTTGAAACGCGACAGAAAAGACGGTGTTAATTACGCCAAATTTGTTGCGCATAACTTTAATTATTTGGATCTGCCACCCTTATTTTCAGCTCTCGTGAGTAAGATTGGAGAGTGCGGTTTACTATGTGTAGATCACCCCTCCTGTTTTTCCTTTAACTGTGCGGCATTCTTTGATAACGTGCACAGAAAGTTGTCTTGTCAACTTTTGCACAGCGATAAGTACAACAAATCAAGTAAATTTTCTTCAAGCCCAGCATTTCATCATTTCAGCATCAAGGTATGTTTGTGAAGAAATCAGTATTCTTGATTTTTCTCTTCACGCGTAAATTTTGGTTGGGCCGGAACAGATTTAGTGTTGAGTATTTAGTCTGCTATATTTGTTATACATTTTTTTTTTCATTTCAGTCTGTAATTTCACCCTTCTAAAAAGGTGAAACATCAAATTCAAGGCTTTTTAGTCACCGGAAGAGCCGTTTAAATCATTTTTGAAACATTCAGTTTTAGCGTTAACAAATTAGTGCATGTGACTGCAATAGTCGATGTATTTACCGTTTATCTGTAATTTTTTCCCGCCAAATCAACAAAGCTCATAATGATGATTTTGAGACTCAAACAAAGATGCATTTCTTAACAAAAATAAGGCCAAATAGGTTTAGCCTCCGTGAATAACTTGTTTTTCTGCCGACAGAGTCATTGTTCCAGCGATCCTTGTTTAAACAATGCGACTTGTGTGGCTAAGTACGCAGAATACAAATATTCGTGTGAATGTGCTCCAGGATTCATTGGAAAGAACTGTGAAGGTGACATGGGAATTTTTTCTTAAATGTTTCTTTCAAGACTTAAATAAATTAGTGACACCTAAGTTCTTTATTTACATCGCACGCTGAGTTTGAAACCGAAGATCCATAGCACTGCATTAGATTATAGCCATTCAGTGACTAGTTGACCAAAAGGAAATTTCTAGGGTTAGAGTTGAGAAGAAAGAAAAATACGAACCCGCGCGTGGATACTGCTTCATACAATAATAACTATTCTGAGCTGCGATCGTAGGAAAAGTTGGCGGACGGTGCTGAGAACTGCCATTATGTAGATCCTGAAGATGAAAAGAGTAACAAGGAACCTAAGGTGTCGTACTCTTTGCTGCCGCCTGAATCAAATTTTTGGATGGTTACAAATCAAAAAATTGACGATCATAATGGAGAATTAGCTTACAAATCATCGGCTTAATTTCAGAATAACTGTCCTTGTAAAATTCTGTGATATAGGTTACACAAATGTACTTAATGAGGTGATATTTGGAAAATTTGCATTTATATCGAGATTTGACCGCTTCTTTCATTACCAATGTGGAACTCTTTGAAAGTTAATTCATGATTCTGTTTAGTTTGCTTTGTCAATATAACACGGTCATCATACTGTAAACGCAAACTCTAAAGTATTGTTTGCATCTGAGCGATTTCCAATTGAATGTCGAAAGGAATCTGGGATTGTATTGGTTTAGTTTTTCTTAGCTCTGTGATTGATCCAGAAACTCGCGCCACTCTCTCAACCAATCAGATGTAGACCTAAATTCAATTTCGACTAAGCTCGCAACTTCCCGCGCTTGGGAAGTTTAGTTGGTTTAACTTTGAGTTCTCATTTACGAAACTCAAACGAAAAGCATTCTGAGCCTAGTACCGACTATGAGCTGTCCTTCTATTTTGTACCTCAGTGGAATTGCACATTTGATCGCTGTTTGGACAGAATAAAAATAGTTTTATCAATGTTCTTGTTCCTCTATATTTTTCATGCCATTATCCACGTCGACCTGTTTGGTTCATCTTTATGTTAGATATCGACGAATGTTTCGGTAATCCATGTTTGAATGGAGGAAGCTGTGTCGATGGCATAAACAAATATTACTGCAACTGCCCTTTATACTTCACCGAACCAAGATGTGAAACAATAGGTTAGGTTCACTTCATCTTCCATTCTAGAGTATGTATAGTTAAAGAGCGGTAACACTGTTAGGAAAGTTCAATAGCATGGAGGGAACCCTCAGGATGTTACGGTTAGCAAAGTGAAATGCCTTCTGCGCGCAAAACGTAACACGAGTGATAAAGTTACGATCTATTCTTGATAGCTATGGCTCTCGGGGGCGAATTACTCACACGAATCATGACCCGAAGTAAAGAAAAACTAAATCAAATTTCGTCAGAGCATCTAGACGTTAAATCAAAACCCTTGTTTTCTGTTCCTCGCAATTGAAATTGGTCAACTGAGTCGAAGTCTGTGGTTCTTGTTGATCTCTTCATAACGTTTCTCCATTATTTGTGCTCTGCTTTTTTAACAGCTGTTTGTTCAGTTCTCTGTTGCTCCGAGGACGAAGGTTTGTTGAAAGAGACTACGGAGATCACTTCATTTACTTTTTGTAATAAAACTCAATCGGATGTAAGTTGTCACTTAGTGGCCATAGGCAGCCACGACCCGGACTCAAAAGGGAAATACTTTGATATTGTTTTTAATCCCTCGATAAGCATAGGAACTAATTAAAAGGAGGAAAGCTGGTAGTGTAGTACGTTTTCCTTGTATCTCCATCAGATGTAGCTGGCCTTGTTGCCTTCTACCCATTCAACTCAGCTTACACTACAAAAGACATGCTGGGAAGTCAGCCAGACGGAATTGTCTCCAACGTGCAGCTTGCCGCTGGACCCAAGGGGAATACTGGGGGCTCGTATCGGTTCCTAGGTTCATCTAACAGCTACATTGAACTCCCCAACAACGGAGGACTAGACACGATGTACTCTTTGACAATAGTGATGTGGGTTTACCCTGAAGGACCAGAGGATGGGCCTATCTTCAACTACGGGACTTCGACTTATCCTTGGGGGGTTCATTTTTGGATAGCGGGTGGAAATTTTTTTTTCCGTTCAGTAGATAGACACGGTAATATGTACTCCATCACAACAAGCCCTGCAACTTCAGATCAGTGGCGTTACGTCGCTGGTTCCTACGACTACAACACAGGAGTGGCCAGACTCTGGATCGACGGAGTGGAAGTAACGCAAAAAACCGTCGGAGTGTTTCAACTGGCTACCGACCTCAATGTCAGGATTGGTGAGAAAACTGATGATATTAGATATTTTAAAGGGAGAGTCACCGGAATACAAGTGTACAACGTAGCACTAAGTCGAGACCAGATAATGACTGTAAAAACGAGAGGGGAGGATTGAATTCGTGTAAAGGATCAACAGTGCAGTAGTCTGCTTCATAGCCAACTTACTCGCTGCCAGAGACGCGTTTGGTACAACAGCTTCGAGAAACTCCAGCCATGATGAATTGTACTTTTTTAAGATTTTTAAGTGGCAAATCGAAATCTGAAATGAAAAAAAACAACACGAAGTGTTTCAGCTGTCTCCAATTCTAAAACCGGATCAGAAGCTCCTTTTTTGCAACCCTCTGACTAATATTTAGTCGTAATTTTTCCTCAGTCACCTCTAAGACTGGTGTACCGAGGCGACTCAGAAGTATTTTGGGCGTTCGGTTTGTCCATTAAAATTATGTATCAGAGAAAATTAACTTATTGAACCTGTTTGTGTGACTTTATTGTTTTTTATAATCATACAGACATAAGAACACGTGTGCTTACAGGAAAAATGCCACAGCTGTTATTCCTGCCACACAAAGATGCAAAAAGGATTATCGTTACTTGTTATGTTCACTAAGTTACTTATGATAAATTTTTCAACTCATGCAATAAAGTAGAAGGAAAGATAACTCACTACCTATTCGTGTTTATATGGCTGATTCAACATCACGGTTATCCAATTAAAAACTGGATCAATAGATAATGCAATTCAAGACTTTTTATTGGCTTAGTCATTATGGTATATGAGCCAATATACCATATACTAATATCTGTACATTGTAACATCCAATTTCTTCTTACAAAATAAAGTCGAGAAGATTTGTCTAATGTCTTGGGGGCATTTTTTTAAGAAAACAATTATTCCACTCGCGCTTGTTGGATATGAGATGATAGACAGCCAACTCGGCGCTACCGGTGCCTCGTTGGCTATCTATCATCTCATATCCAACGCGCGATCGTGGAATGATTGTTAAATATTGACTAAAAATGATTTACTCGATTCAAGAAATATCGACCAAAGTTCGAAGGAGCAACTGATGAGATTCAAGCAGTAGACAATGCTACGAAAACGGAGAGAAAAAAATGAAACCAAAAAACACATCCGGTACTTACAATACCAAATGCAAACCGTTAAGTTAATGGTATATAATACGATGAGGGGTTGTTCCTCGTGGGTAAACTTGCGTGATAAGCTGTATGTTCAGATTTTCCACATCTTCCGATCTCAGATAGGGGGTAATCAAAACTCGTTTCCAGAATATGCCAAAAACGAGTCACTCGATAGTCAACCAGTCATTAGAGGCTTGTGAACATCTTTCCTTTTCAGCTTGGGAGTCAAGATACCTAACAGATGTTACCCACAACAACCTCGTCGCTGTTATCTGCATCAATTCTTTCTCAGCCATCATAGCCATGATTTTGAATGCACTGGTCATTATAGTTCTAACGACGAGACAGCAACTGAGAACCCCCCAGTGCCCCACAAAATTCTTGTAATATCTTTGGCAGGAAAAGATTTTCTGGTTGGCGTACTCGTGCAACCATTTTGGGTGGGACAGAAACGAATCACATCCCTGGTCGCCGACCGTTTTGTATTTTCGATACAGTATTGCGGATAATCGAAATGGGAATTTGTTTGGGGTCACTTGGCCATCTTGTGTTGATTAGCGTTGAAGGTCACATTTTCATTAAGCTTTCCCTAACATATGTCGCCGTCGTAACCGAGAAGAGAGTTATATGCTGGCGAACTGACGGCCTGGGCTGTTTTAGCGGTTGGGATCATTGCAACGATCTTTCGGGCCTTCATAAACACTGAACCAGCCTTCTATTCATTGCGATCCAGAACTCAAAGTGCCAAGCGGTAAAAACAAGATCTGAAAGACGTTCAGACCATTTGACGGTTTAACGATTAACGGTTGAGAGTAAAAACTAATGCGGCCTTTCTGACGATCGAGGGTTGAATTTTGGGCCGCTTGATGGTTAACGGTTAACCCCATGAGACCCTCTCAAACTGGTTAACCAATGAAAAGCACAGTCTACGGCTGGAAATATTTCATTTGCGAAATACATGTGACAGAAATTCCACTGATACCTTGAGGCTAACGAGTTGAACACTCGCACCACATTAGCTATAATCATATGTGTTGGAAATAATGTACAAAATTTAGAATGAACTTTCTTTTTAATGAAATTGCCTCAATTTATTTCAACATCACACGTTGCATTATATTTTTGATAACTTATTATATAACAAAAGATGGAAACCGAAGGCTGTTTTCAAAATCGTCTTGATATGCTTCGAGGTTCGAAAGGGAAATGGTTTACACTTGACACGTGATGAAGCCCAGAATTAATTATGTGACGCGTGATCTTTACAAAAGGGCAATTGCAAGATAAGGTGAGGTCTATAGTTCTTCCTTTTAAATTCTTGACTAGCAAAATACTGATTAACTACACGTGACGCGTAAATTTTTCAAAACTTCTTGCGTGAAACAGAATTAGGAGCCTCCCTTTGCAACCCTGTCCACGAATCCGCGATTGGCGTCTAAGACCAACAAATTATTTCTTAGAAAACAGAAACATTTCATTTTTTGCCGAAAATTGTTTTTATCCGTCGACACAAACGCAACAAAACGGGGTTTTTAAACAATTCGATACAAATAGTTGTTTTGGGTGACCGTTTTCACCTGATATGTGTGCATAGAAGGCCTATGCCGGAGAAATTCTCTGATGCCAAATAAAATGGAATGGTCAGTGTCAGACAGTTTTATAATAATTGATCTGTCATATTTATCCAGTCCTTTGGTCGGCTGGTGACGTGACTGACTGGGAAGTAGTTCTTACGTACTCTTGTGAAAAAGAAAAATTAAAAATCTGCGTTTTCAAAGCTTATTTATCAACCTTGCCCTGTTAATTTTTTTATATATCCTCCTCCCATGTTGAATTCTTTTTTAACCGAATTGCATTCTCCGGAATCAAATATTTTGGAAACCGGTTTACTAAAAGATCGCTACCGTGGTTACCGCATCACTGATCGCCTGCTTCTCCATCTTATTTTATTGTCTTTTGTCTCTTGTGTTCTTATGCTTTTTTTTCTGATTAACTTAAGCGGTTATGGATTCCCGCCTGTTGTACATTATCTTGCACGTTCTAACAAGCGATTCCAAATTTGATGACGTGTCTCTTTTCACTGCAACGGTTCAACAGGGACCTGAGGTATTCAACTGGGTCCACTGAGAATCATGGGATTTCCATCACCCTAACGAACCGTCTGCTCGATTTCCGACACTGCAAAACTTGTCGAATTGAAAGTGTTATTCCTAAACGAATCATGTTGCTTTCGGTCCTGATTTTGGATTTCCTCTGTGTGCACTTGTGACCCGCGGACAAGGCTTGTGATCTGTGAGGAAGAGATGTAAAAGTAAGGATAGATATTGGAATAAGGGAGAGAAAGGGGGAGAACAGCGAAGAAAGATAAGGAATATACAGGGCTTAGAAAGGAGCAGATCAGAAGAGGAAATGATTCGTGAAAAGGAGAGAAACTGAAGTAACTCTTGCCTCAGGGAAATTCACGAAAGGACCGAAAAGGGGACAGGAGGATGGGGTACAAACATAAGGTAAAGAGACTAGAGGAAAGGAAAAGAAAGACATTTGACCATAGACGAGGTTGTACGTTGTAGGCAGTTTAAGAGGAATTTTAAGGAATTTGCAGAGGAATTTGAATTATTGGCTTTTGTGGAGGGGGAACTGGGGAGAAACTCAAGGAGAACCGAGAACCATGAAAAACTCTCATCAGGGGAGGTGTGTACGTTCACAGTCCGACATCAATGGTACCGTGGGCGCGAAAGCGATGCAAACCCGTACGTGTTCTGGCAACATACCTTTGGGAGAAACACTAAACCAAGCACCATGGTGGTACACAAGTGTATCAATGAATTGTTGAAGATTCTCTTGGCATTGTAATTACTCAGCACAAACTCCGTTGTAATAGAAAGCCCAGAGAACAATAAAATATTGTAAACGGCGACCCCAATGTTCTTGGAATCGTTAAGTTCGGCGTAATGAACATTTCTCGTTTCCCAGGCCAGGAAGACACCAAACAAAAGCAGAATACCCTTGTATATTAGTATCCCCAGGAACCATCTGGAATAATGAGTTGAGTCACATTGGTGAATTGTTATGTGAATGTTGATGTCTTCGTCATCCGGGTGCATCTGGAAATGAAATCGAAAATAAATGTTGGTTGGTTGACTCTGGGAGACATAGCAACCTAAAAGTTAGTGCACTCGGTCGAGAGAGGTCTGGGTTCGAGATTTGGGCCCGTTTCTTGAAAGTCCCTGTATCTTAGCGGGCTCGCAAAGCTGTTCTGTTTTCATTCAAGATGGGGATTTCAAAAGTTTTGAAAATGATACAATAAAAATATCAGCTGAAGAAACAAAAAGGATTGGTTTGGGTGCCAGATACTGCTTTCCTTTCCTTTAAATTTTGATTTTCAAACATGGCTCCGGGCTTGTTAAGTTACCGGGACTTTTGAGAAACGGTACCTAGATCTCATATCTCATGACATATGAAGACCTTAAAGCTAATAGGTTTCTAAATCAAAAGAAAATTTCATCAGCTAATTACCTTTTCAGACATTTGTATAGTTTTTGCCTGCAAGGGATCCACTAGTTCCCAACTCACAAGCACCAGTATATCCAGCAGTAAGCCATGAAATATTTTAAGCATTAGGTGAGACGTATTCAGACCACCTATCTGTAGCAAAAGACACATATGATATTGAATATGACTCCATGATTGTCAATGAATAGATGAATAGTAGAAGGTGATTTTTCTTCCTAGTTTAGACCAATGTAAGGTTCAGTAGGTTGCAAAATTAAAATACAAACACTCAAGTGGAAAATAACTCGTTACCCTTTTCTTGCGATGAATTTTCTAAAGATTTAGGGATAAAAACACTGCTTACATCTATCAGCATTGTTTACAATGTCCTTTTCAATCGTATCCTTTCGTTCCAAATCGTGTTCCTTTCAGCTTCGTCCTTTTCACTTGCATTTTATTCCTTTGCATCTTTATCAATGACCTAGCGTCTTTAAAAATGTGACCTTTAAACTTCATCCTTTTCACGACTTTCCACACCGCATACAAATTACAAAGTTTCGTTTTTTCGCTTTCAAAATTTTCAGTCATTTATAATTAATATGGGAATCAGAAAAAGAACTACTGATAAGCTGCGAATGTACCTGTCGTTTGAGACGCCTATTCGTAAATATCTTGTACACTCGCCACGTCTTAGATAACATTCCTCCAAACCCCAATGTAAATCCGACAATAATAAGGTAAGCGCGGACCTAGAGTAGAAAAATCGATTTACAAAGAGTTGATACAGGTACGAATTTTGTTTAGTCAAACAAGGTGGTTATTAAGTATTTAATTACAAATTAGTGGAATTATAGACCAAGTCACACTCGTAGTCGAATTGCAGAAGCAAACAACAAAAGAAACCGTTATTTATTTTCACTAACGATAAAATAAGAAAGAAATCCTGAATTAAGCAACGACCGATGACTTGCAAAATATCCACTAAAGAGACCAGGCTAGTTTCATGTTATGGTAAAATATCAAATTAAAAAGGCAATTTTAGTGCAAGAATTAGAAAGCCCAAGAGTAGGAAGATGCTTATGTAGGTAGATCGTAGGAATCATTTAACCTCTTTCAGTTATTTTTTTTGTTAGCTGCTTAGCTTCCCAGACCAGTCCTTAGCTTAGGTTCGTGCAGCATACAAGTTATGATATGGAACATGGATTGATTATCGGAACTACTTACCACACAAATAGATCTGCTTCCTTTTCCATACACGAAAGAATTTCCAAAAACTGCCAAGAAAACGTGGATATAGCACAAAAAACAGCCAAAGGCCGTTATGCTATTGAAATGCGGTGAGGACATCTTGATTATCCTGGTGTTCAAAGACCAATAAAAATCAGTAAAAGTGGCTATTGGAGATCGATCTGCGAGCACCGATAAAGTTACTCAGTGGTCCTTACTCTCGGGACCGAGACAGAAGAAATGTGAAATAATTTTCAAGCCGATGAAAGTACCCTAACACTTTTAATCTATGGGTCAAATGTAACCTGCTGATACTGCTAGGTCCTACTAAAAGATAGGACCGATCAACACTTCTCGATCAGCTTTACCCATTGCCATCATCGATCAGACTTTTAAAAGTTTTTAATTTGATTGCATTCAACCAGCATATGTTAAGGTACAATATTCTTTGCCTTCTCGTGTCCCGTTGTAAAGCTGAAGTCAAGACAGGGACGTTGTAAACGGTCAGCTAACGACTGAAATTCGCGTGAAGTTACTAGCTTTTGTTACCTTTGTTTTCTGTATAATATGTTTAAAATCAGGCATCCCAAAGAGAACAGCATGCCAAGAGAGGTCGTAACAATTGTAATGATGGTCTGTATCCTTGGTGCTTTATAAGGTTCAGTCGTATTGGTCACTCCATCAGCCGGAATCTTGCCTTGAAACACAATAAATGCAACAGCGAGCAGAGAAAAAGTAAAGATAAAAAAGACAGCAGCAATAACGGCAAAACAACCTCCTCCAAAATTCTTCGACAAACAACGATAGTGACAACAATAACGACTAAAAATCGGTAATCTGGCACATATTCCACAAAGTTTAAATGGCTTAAAGCAGTCATAAAATGTTTTAAACCAAAAAATGCTGCTTCATTTTTGAAAAGATCATAGCCGGAGCAGTTTTTTGAAGTATATAATCTAAATGTAGAAATTTGTTTTGAATGTGTCTTAGTTACATTTTGGGAGAGTTCTCCAATAATTGTAAAATTGTCGCTTGTTTGGAAGATTAGAGCATGATAAAATTGATTGTCGTAAAGCTAAAACCAAAGTAGTTAACGCGGTCAAATATAAGGCTAGAAAGGTAACCGTCATTAGTAGCCAATGAAAATTGAAAGCAAAACAAGCTTAGTTGCTCAAGGGCAGGAAAACGTGAGTGGTGGTCGAGTGGCTATTGGGTTTAGTTTGCACTGACTGGTCGAGAGAATGGCGCAAGTTTGCAAGACCAGCCACGATGTAGAGCCGGTATAGTAAAACCAATGAAAATCTGGATTAATTTTGTCACAAAAGGCCTGGTTGTATTTTCAATGCGTTATAGCACACTGGTTACCTTCCCAAATGAACAAAGAGTCATTCAGCATAGTAAAAGATTTGTTACACAATCCAACCACTGTCCTGTCATCGCCTACAGATGAAATATAAGAATGTGCGAGAGTGCTTTAAACCTCACTTTTGATTTAAGCATTTGCCTGCAATTCTGAAGTAATATAGATTTTAGGGAAGCTATGTAGAACACACCTTGTTGTTGCAAAATTTCGATTGTGTTTTCTCTATCACCCACTCTGTCAAACTTAACAATACCCTGCAAGAGATTGAATATACAGTACATCACTTAAAACAGTAGCTCAATAGTTGGAACAAACTAATCGGCTGTTTACGAAGGGGAGCGGAAGATCAATCTAACTTGTAGCAAAAAAAGAGAAAAGATCCAATTGAGTGGTAAAGTGAGTGGGTCGATTGAGCTTTGAACCTCTGGGTTTTGCATCCAATTAAAGTGCTGAAGTATTTGGCGAAGTTCTCTCCAAAGGCAATATGGCAACAAACTGAGATGTGGCATCTATTCAAATTTCATTTTTTTATGTGAAGGTGTAGTCTGATCGTCCGGGTGAGTGTAGTCCTGAGAAGGACTGTTGTCGGTGGCAGTGACTGACGTTTCGACAACCTGTGCGGAAGTCATCATCAGAGTCAAGTGAGTGATTGTTGTCAGTAGAATGTTCTTATTCCAGTTCGTGTGAAATGATCGGTTGGTTTTGCCGTGATGTTATTGGCTGTAAGACTCAAGTGACGTAAGTCGTTCGTGATTGGTCTGTTTCGGTCTGTCGGTAAAGCTAGGTTGTTCTTTTTCGGTCGTTTGTGATGTTTATGTCGTGAATGAGTCGTTTGTATGGGGCGGGTAGTTGTTGACATCTGTTTAGGGGAGTCTGTTCTAAGTTAGTAAACCAGCTTTCCAGAGTCAGTCGTTGAAAATAGTCAGTGCTGTAGGTTAGGCATTGCGCAGAGTCCCAGTCAATGTTGTGGTTGGTAAGTCGATGGTGTTCAGCAATGTGATTGCTGACATCACCTTTCCTCGTCGCCCGTCTGTGTTCAGTCAGTCTTGTTGTGAGGTTTCTGCCAGTCTCACCGATGTAGGAGGCTTGGCAGTCGGAACAATTGATCTTATAAATCGTTCCCTGTCTGTTCCTCGGTTCGTCTTTGTCTTTAACGTTGGTTAGTAACTGACGTAGTGTGGTGATGGGTTTGTGGGCGACGCGGATATTGAAGGGTAGTAAGATGCGCGAGATGTTTTCAGACATGCCTTTTATGTACGGTATGGTTGCTGTAGTCNGCCCACAAACCCATCACCACACTACGTCAGTTACTAACCAACGTTAAAGACAAAGACGAACCGAGGAACAGACAGGGAACGATTTATAAGATCAATTGTTCCGACTGCCAAGCCTCCTACATCGGTGAGACTGGCAGAAACCTCACAACAAGACTGACTGAACACAGACGGGCGACGAGGAAAGGTGATGTCAGCAATCACATTGCTGAACACCATCGACTTACCAACCACAACATTGACTGGGACTCTGCGCAATGCCTAACCTACAGCACTGACTATTTTCAACGACTGACTCTGGAAAGCTGGTTTACTAACTTAGAACAGACTCCCCTAAACAGATGTCAACAACTACCCGCCCCATACAAACGACTCATTCACGACAAAAACATCACAAACGACCGAAAAAGAACAACCTAGCTTTACCGACAGACCGAAACAGACCAATCACGAACGACTTACGTCACTTGAGTCTTACAGCCAATAACATCACGGCAAAACCAACCGATCATTTCACACGAACTGGAATAAGAACATTCTACTGACAACAATCATTCACTTGACTCTGATGATGACTTCCGCACAGGTTGTCGAAACGTCAGTCACTGCCACCGACAACAGTCCTTCTCAGGACTACACTCACCCGGACGATCAGACTACACCTTCACATGTTACCCCCGGGTTCAAACCATTTACTGCATTCATTTTTTTAGTTACTTGTTGGCGGTGTTTAGGCTGCATGATATGTTTAGGTGGATTAAAAGGATAGATTATCTTCTTCTGAGGTAGAGTGCAGTAGAAACCTTTTTGTGTGATTCTTTCGTTTGTTCAGGCAGTGATTAATGCGTGTGCTCACCGACATTCCAGTGAAGGTCAAATTGCGGAGTAGCCGTTTGAAGAGTTCGGCGGCCTCACGATCGCCGTACTTTATGTTTGCCAAACTCTTATTGCGAGCTTGAAGAACAGAGATGGACTGGTGCAACGTTAGCGCGATGCTCCAAATAGCATCATACGCAAAAGATGAAAATCCATTTGTTGGGTAATTTATCTTCCTGCTCCGTTCTAGGAGTTCATCCTTAAGTTCAACAGCGCTCTGAAATGTGAAAATCCAATATATGAGTCGATGGTGACTAACTACAGACATTGATCAAATAGAGCTAATCAGGATCTGTCTAAATAAGATTGAATCTCTGATATGAATCAGGCAGCATCTAACTGATATAAGTCTTCGTTAACAATTTGTGGCTGAATGCACGAGCGGAAAATTTGAGGGCATCTCATGTTCTGATTGGCTACCCGAAAGGCAAATTTTGGGCCAGTCATAACCAATATGAAGAGGCTCATTCAGGCTCTAACACAAAAAAGAAAACAAGTTAATGACTAACCTTCCCTGCAATCGTAGGGGTTCTAGAATCCCCAAGAGGTAGAGGTCTGGTGGCGAGATAGTTGCCTATCGCCCTGAGTATGTCGTCTCCACTGCACGAAGTGTCTCCAGTTTCAGACTCCCACCACTTAGCACTATACCATCCAGGAAGGATCCAAGCGTATTTTCTACCTGTTACTCCTTGATGACAGGCCTAAAAATGGACAGTCAGGGATATATATATTTAAACTTGAGAATTTTTTTTCCAATTAATAAAAAAATTGCTTTGTAACTCATATTGTGTATTACCGAATTTCTCACCTGACATGCGATTTTTCGGAATTGGTCTTCATACATCAGGCCAATGATGATTCTGACATCTCTCCTCTGAAATAAATTGCGACGGTGCTTGCATTACTCCAAGTGTAGATTAAGTTGTCAAGACGTGAACAAAATTGATTTGGAAGTGACGAATTATCCTCTAGTCAGATACCCGATAGATGATTGTCATTAAAGCCTTGCAATCCTTATTTTTGGACTGAACTGGATGGCACAGCTACTAAAATTTGAAATATGCCATAACTGCCAAATGTCTTTTTTTTCTTCTTTTCCGAAAAGGTTTTTCATCAGCGGTAATTACAGAACATTACCTTGATGTGACTAACTGGATGCCGGTGTTCTGCTTCAAAACTCTCCATAAAGACGATTGAGATGTTGTGTTTTGTAAGTAACGCCACCAAGTTCTCTTTGGTCTGCAAAAATAAGAACAGATTAACGCTCATTGACGTCTCTTATTGGATATAAATTATCCTTTGTACGAATGCCTTGTGACCAATTTAAAGGCCAATGTAAAATAGTATATTGTTTGTGCTGGTGAAAGCTATGCATGCATGATCAGGTTTGTAGTGTAGAGAAGCCACAAAGGAACGCCACAGAGGCTTAAAAGCGCAAATGTACTCTTAATTCATAAAATAAATCACTTTCCTTTTCAATCTTATCGTATTTACTGGTCATGCAGGGCTGTGAACAGCCGGAATTACCTTCGTGAAAATGTGGTCCTGCTGCACGAGAATTGCGACTCTCTTCCACTTGAAGTGTTTTAATAGGTTCACTATGGCAAAGTTGTTGAGAGTCTCAGAAGAACAAATCCGGGAGTAGAAAGGAAACCTGATGTCATCTGAGAGCTTAGGGGAAGTATTGCTGAAACCAACCTTGAAAAATATGAAGCATTGAACGAGAGGATCTCAACAAAAACAATATAAAAAACAAAACAAAAATAGCTATTCTTGATTAAACGTATTGAGAGGTGCTAATGTAGGAGAGATTCTCAATCTAAAAGTTGGAGTCAGCCTTTCAAATTTTCATATTCCCCCAGTTCGATTTTGAAGCTCATGCAAAACCTCATTACAGAAACGATCTTAGCACTTTACACCGTAACATCAGTATGCATATTCTTCATACTGTACTCTATACATTTTCTAAAGTACTGACAAGGAGAATTTGTTTAACAATGAAGAACTTCTTAGGTTGGTGAGCCTTTCCTTAATTCTCATGACCCTGATGTGTGATTCAAGGATGATGCTACAAGGAGAAAGTTGATGCTAGTCAATCCCAGGGCTCAAGGGGTTAACGAGCTTAGGTTCAAGACTAGATTCGAACCTGAACTGCCCCCCAAAATGGGGCAGCTTCTGCGATGGGTTCTGCAGCTGGAGAACAGCCTGGTGCCGTGAACATGACCTTCGTGGGAGGCTTGGACACTAAATCCAACATCGCTTTTATGGCAGCAGCACTGTCACACTGGTGATTCAAAAATCAGAGGAATGACTTAAGACAAAGTCAAACTCAATTAACTTCACCTGCTCCTCTCTAGAAATGGCTGTTTCTTTTTGCCCCGGCGAACGTTCCATAATTTTTTTTCATTATTAGCCTCGTCTGAAGCCTACGAGCTGGCAACAGAAGCTTAAGATCATTAGAATAAACATATCAGACCTTGAAGACCTTGCTTTCCAAGTTCTTACGCTCAAGCATGCATTGCATATGTAGCTGTCATTTCCAGCGAGGATATATTTTATAATGACATTCATTCAAAAAAAGACCCCTTCGTATAAAAATTTAGCTTGCCCACATGCAAAAAAACTACCCTTATTCCTTGATTAATGTACAATCATAGACATTGTGTGGCCAAAATGGGAAAGAATTCAAGCTTCACTAGGACTCAAACCTATGCCTACCAGATACCGCACGTTGGAAAGGAACCAACTATAAGTGGTTGTTTGTTTGTTCTTTTTAAGGATTTTGACCGCAAAAACTTATAAAAAAGGGTCCAAGCTGACTTTTTGATTGTGATGCGAGGTCACAAACGATCGATTGATCTTCTTGCCTTGAGCCTGGATCAAAAAGCAAGAGGTTCAACAGCAGTTAAGATCGTCTCTTTAAGTCTCAGCTGACGCTGATGGCCAATCCCGATCTACTGAACAGGTCAGTCTCCATCAAACGGTTACCTGCCTTTTCTACGATTGTGACTTAAAGCTAAGAAGCCCTTTTAAATACCTTAGAATCTCTCCAATCCTCGTGTAAAGAGTAACCAGCCAAAATTGACTGATCCCCATTTACGTGTTCGAGCGCCATCTGAACTGCTGGCATAACACCCTTGGAGCTCCAACCTTTTGAAGAGACGTTGATGCCATAAAAAGTACCAATGTACAAGTTCTCTAAACTGTGACCCCACTTTCCCAATAATAGATTCGAAAGCAGCAACCATGTAGAAAGCTTGATGGTTTTCATTATGTGGTAAGCTGAGATATAAAAGATGGTGTCATTTTAGTAATGGACTCAGGTTCAGTCCACAACGCAGGTCTATTTCTGATTTTCATTTTCATTCAACCCAGTTTAACTAAACATGGTTTGCTAGTGTGAATGGGGTATTGGCCTTGAATCGGCAAGATAATAAGAAATAGGACTTCAATCCATAGCGTTCACCTTTAATGGAAGTGATTGAGCAATAGCCATCTTCCATGGACCGTGTGCGTTCATTAACTGAGAATATCTGTGTTTTCTTTGAGCGAGTTAGTATTTCTCCGTTCTGTTCGATCGATCAAGGATAGCATCTGCTGTAATGAAAAAGGTCATTTCGAATGCATGCTGTATCTAGTAATTGGGATGTCCTTATACAGGTTATCATTATTTAATGGTTACCCATAAGAATAGAAAAATCGTAAAAGGAAGGAATTTTTCAAAAGCCAGTCTTGAACTTTGTTTCAAGAGGGTATAAGTTTCTAAAGAAACTGTGATGCTGCATCGTTGGGGGGTTTTAGAACTTATTATGTGTCGAGTTATGAGGATGTTATGTTTGTTCGCCGCTAAGCAGGCATTGAATCGGTATTGTTGAGCTTACAGATTTCCTGGAGATTTACATCATTAAGTGTAGAGTCAGCCTAATCTCAACGTTGCTTTATGGAACAATCACAAAATGTAAATTTTGTAGAATCTCGGTTTTTGGCTTTCGAAGCCTTTTTTCGCCCTATTTCCCTTTTTCTCTTTAACCAATTTTCCTTCTGGCTGAAAAAAGTACAGGTATTTCACACTCCTCGCGAAACCATCCACTCCTGAATCGATGACTGACGACATATTCTTGGGTTTTAAGCGGGGATCGCTCAAGTGTGTGTTAATGAATAATCTTGTTTTGAGATAGTATGACTATTCAGATGTATCAATCTTCAGCCAATTACTGGCTATATTGGATTCTGAAAAAGTTTTCTCATTTTCTTCGTTTATCGCCCATTTGTTGCTTATTTTTTTCAAGCCGTTAGGTACATCTTTTTCCTTGTGTTTTGAAAACTAGATCAAGCATACCCTTTAACAACTAATGTGAAAAATCTAATCTAGTAAACAAACCTTTTTGTGAATATTTATCGACAGCTAATAAAGGATAGATGAAACACTCAAGCTCTTTGTTCACACAAAGAGGGCATCATAAGATCCATGCTTGGTGGAGATTATGCTCTCTAGATGAAAGCGAAGGCATCAGAGATCCTAATTCGTTCCTAACTCATTCGATAGTTTTTAGGGCTGATCAAATGCCTCGTTACCTCCGAGCAGCGACAGCTAGCAGCAGAATAAAAATAATTATGATAAAAACTTTTCAATTTGAACACCTTGAATGCAGCTGCTGATATCAATTTGTTCTCTCTGCAACACCGACAACAGCCTCCCTCGTGGTTGGTTGGTATCAGTTTAAATTTTAATTCAACTTAGTTGGGTGTCATTCAATGTCTCCGTCATATATAGCTTTGGTAAAATCAAATGATTACTATGATTTTTCATCATGCACTTGAATTCATGAACAGCTCTTGCGGACTTTTAATTCAAACTAAACGAAAAGGAAACATTTTATCTTAAATTTGTTTGTGGTAGATTGGCAACAATCTTATTGCCTCAATCATTAAGGCGTATGATAATCTGGAAATCTGAATATGAAACAAGCTGCCACCAGGCGCCATTTGGGGGGATGGCTTTTACCGTTAACTGTTAAAATTATGTTCCTTTTACGACTAACGGTTCATTTCTTTCCTTTATAGTAATCAGAAATATCAAAAATTAATTTCAATAATTTCTAGATATTGATAATTAATTTTCATTGTTCTTAACCACATTTACGACCGGTGGCTTATTTCTTTCTTATCCTGTAATAAAGGAAAAAAACATGTAAACAACATGGACGTATATAGCGCAACAACTCAGTAACTATATTAATATATATATATATATATATATATATATATATAAATGTAATATGTATGAAAAAAATTTACTTTTAACGCTTTTAAGACAAACGGTTGAAATCTATCAATTTTTAAACCCAACGACAAAGTTATCTAGCCATTTTGAGGCTTATAGTTAAACCCATTGGGACCCTAATTTTGGATCGACCCTTATTAATAGGAGTATATCATCAGTACCTAGGGGTATATACCGTTACCTTTATCTCTGCAGGCTTTTTGCATCCCAAAACACAAGGAATGAGGAGGGGAGAGCGGGGGAGGGG